GACATACCATCGAAATTATCGTATAAAGGTTATGAATTTAAAAAAATTTATAGATGTAATATATTTTCAATAAAATAAATATTACAATAGAAAATTCAAAGGTAAATTAATAATTAAAAAATTATAAAAGTCCTCAACTTCATTAGTTGATACATCACTTCAATTAATTTTATGTACCAAAAGAATTTTGTAAGTACAATAATTTGCTTATTCCAATTTTCTTTCTTTCAATAAAAAAAAAAAAAAAAACGGAGTAAAAAAAAAGGGGGCACTGTATATTTCATAATGAAAGTAAAAAATAAACGGAGTAAAAAAGAAAGTGTAAAGAAACACCGAACAAACAACTCCAAACTCGGAACTAAAGCAGCGATTCGTTTTAGGTTCCAAACTTTGACGATTCTCTTCTCTCTCTAAAGAAACACTTGCTTTGAAATTTGATATTATTGTTTATGATTATACGCTTATTTGTCTTCTGTTTGTAGTTAAAGGGTTTGGAGGGTTTGGGCATGAGAGTGCCGAACGCTAATCTTTTCGATCAGCGAACGATTATGGACTCGGACTTCTCACCCGGCAAAGCCTCCGGGTCTTGTTCCGCTGACTTGGACTTCGGTTTTGCTTTCAACGACAGTAATTTCTCCGATCGGGTCTTGAGGATCGAGATCATGCCTGATTTGCCCGAGAATAAATCCGACGGTGACGGTTGCTCCTCCATCGCTGATTGGGCCCGTAATAGAAAGAGACGGAGGGAAGATTTCAAGAAAGAAACTGGTTCGTTTTTTCTACTTTAAAATTATTGGTATTTTATTTGACTCGTGTTTGTTTTAAGTTTTAACAATGTAATAATTTAGTTTTGATGATTTTGTGGTTGGGGTCATGGAGATGTCGTCGTGCGATGTGAGGAGCAAATCTTGAATTGTAACATGCCAGACACGGTGGATGGTGTAACCTATGAAAATCAAGATGAGGAGGCCGTGGCAATGGTTGAAGAGTCACCTTCTATTGGATTGAATTCCAATAAAATTGGTAACTATTTAATTACATGGAAGGAAATTCTTGCCCCATTTTTAAGGAATTATTTTTTAGTTAATCTTCACTGCTAACAACTCAAACTTCTTAGTTTCCTTCTTGTTGTTGTCTCTATGTTCCTTTTGCTACTTGCTTTTTGTTATTTATGTTATGCTTCTTCATGAGTTGCTAAAAAAACAAAATAAAAGAGTAAATGAAGTTGTATTTGGTTGGAAATAAGCAAATGGGTAGAAGTGAAATTATGGGTTTTGTTATTTGCTAAAGTGAATTTGTAATTCTTCATAAGCTTTTGTATTTGAAAACAAAAAGTTAATAGGAAAAGTAGCAGTAAGACGGGCCTTAAATTTTGGACACGTTTGTCTCTTGCTCACTTACCCAATGCTTTCCTTTATGATAATAACTAGATTTAGAGTTAAATTTTTATTTGGTATCGATTATTACTCTTTGATTGGAAGGAATGAGCCTTGAGACGCATTTGATTCTTTTTTAGGGAATGACGCTACTCTTAGGGATGATTCATCTTGGAATATGGATTGTTCAACAGTTCTAAGAGTCAAGACCATACACATTAGTTCTCCTATTTTAGCGGCAAAAAGTCCATTTTTTTATAAGGTGAGTTGATGCTGGTTGGTTGTTTTCTGTCTTTATCATTGGTTCTCATGCTCATGATTGAATTACTAGTTTGCACCTCTTTTTGCAGTTGTTTTCAAATGGAATGAGGGAATCAGAGCAGCGACATATAACACTCAGGATACATGCCTCTGGTAAATTCTGGAATATTTTTCCTATTATTTGGTCATTCCTGTCTTTGTTTTCCCCCTCTTGCTATGAATTCCAGTGAACTGCTTTCATGTGGGAAACGGTCGAATTTTTGTGGGTTCATTTATGCATTTGGTCGTGAACTAAAGGTCATTATATTCTTTGTTAGGTCATTACTTCATTATTGACTGGGTATGTATGACCTAATACTTTTCTGTTTTTTCCCCTGAGCAGAAGAAACAGCTCTTCTTGACCTCCTTAATTTTATGTATAACAACACCCTGTCAACAACCACACCTACTGCCTTGCTAGATGTGTTGATGGCTGCTGACAAATTCGAGGTTGCATCATGCATGAGATATTGTAGTCGATTGTTACGGAACCTGCCTATGACCTGTGAATCTGCATTACTATATTTGGACCTTCCTTCTAGTGTTTTAATGGCAGATGCTGTTCAGCCACTGACAGATGCTGCAAAGCAGTTTCTTGCTGTGAGATATAAGGATGTAACCAAGTGAGTGCCGCTAATATGTACAATATTAAATACATATTTATATTTTGAATAATTTCTTATCTGTAACAACAGGGTTGTTTTCTTTTGTTACTTGTATATGAATGTGCCGCATGTTTTTGTTGATATTTATTTGGTTTTATTTTCAAGTTTTTCTCTCCAAAATAGTGGACGCTATTCTTTAGAAACAATGGGGTTGCTGAATAAAATTTAATAACCTTGATACATATATTGGCTGTCTAAAGTGACAAATTTTTTGAAATTACTGTCAACATTTCATTAACATGTTTTTTTTTTTTTTTGGGTCCATTTTGAGTTAATTTCTAGGTAATGGATTAACTAACTTGTACTGGTTTCTTGTCAGATTCCAAGAGGAGGTACTCAACTTGCCTCTTGCTGGTATGGAGGCAGTATTTTCCAGTGATGATCTCCAGGTAGCTTCAGAGGATGCTGTTTATGACTTTGTGCTGAAGTGGGCTCGGACTCATTACCCAAAGATTGAGGAACGACGTGAAGTTCTTGCTACACGCCTTGGTCGCCTAATTCGTTTTCCATATATGACTTCCAGAAAGCTGAAAAAAGTTTTAACCTGCAGTGACTTTGATACAGAACTTGCATCCAAGGTTGTTCTCGAAGCTCTCTTTTTCAAGGCTGAGACACCATACCGACAGCGGGCCCTTGCATCAGAGGAGGCCAATGCCACTCATCGTCGCTTTGTGGAGCGGGCTTACAAGTACCGTCCAGTCAAGATTGTAGAGTTTGAACTGCCACGACAACAGTGTGTTGTGTACCTGGACCTGAAGCGTGAGGAGTGTGTGCATCTTTTTCCTGCTGGTAGGGTTTATTCACAGGCATTTCATCTTGGTGGGCAAGGATTTTTCTTGTCTGCTCATTGCAACATGGACCAGCAAAGCTCATTCCACTGCTTTGGGCTATTTTTGGGAATGCAAGAGAAGGGATCTGTTAAATTTGCTGTTGACTATGAGTTTGCAGCAAGGTCAAGGCCAACTGAGGACTATGTAAGTAAGTATAAAGGGAATTACACTTTCACAGGAGGAAAGGCAGTTGGCTATCGTAACCTGTTTGGTATACCCTGGACAGCATTCATGGCCGATGATAGCATTTACTTCATAAACGGTATACTTCATCTCAGGGCTGAACTCACTATTAGACAATGAGTTTCTGAGAGCTAGGTTTTAAGAGTATTATATAGTCCTAGATCGCTGGATCAGTCTTACTGATTCCCATACTTCTGCCTTTTATCCTGTGTAAATTCCTTTTGAATCATTGGAAAATTTTGAATAATTTCACTTCATGCATTTTGGTATGTGCTTATATGCAAAAACTATTTGGCTTTTGGATTCGAGCGTGGGCCGGCTAACGAATTAAAGAACAAGATGTTAACTGAAAAAATAAAAAATAGCATTTTGAATTGGAAGCAAAGCTTTCAGGAAGACTTGGAACATCCTTCAGATCCTCAAAAGAAAATGCTTTGTCGACCGTTTTCATTTACAGATGCAGTGAGTAATGCACCTTTTAGCTGTCAGGAATAGCGAGAGGAAAGGCAAACATTTCTAAGATAAAGGTGCTAATTTAGCAACTAATTTTTTAGCATCTCATCGAGAATTTTGCTGATGGTCGGGAAAAAAGAAACACGATAACAATGTTGTACCAACAATCATCATGAGGTAAACTATTTTTCCTCCTCAAATTGCTATCTTTTTTCCTTTCAACTTCAAACCTGTTCATGTTCGGCCTGCTCAACAACAAAGTTGGACTAGGCTCCACAACTAATTTATTGATTTGGCCTTCGTTTCATTGGCATGGTTATGACTGATTAATGACAATCAAACCATGTTTCTTATAAATCAATCAAAGTGCTCAATCTGTCATGTGACATGCTAAGATCAGGGAGGAGAGCTATCAGCGCATGCTTTTAGCAATAATACTAATTTTGTTCCCCACAATGAACGGACTAAGCCTAAGAGGCTAAGACCCTATCTCTCTGTCTCTTCCTTCAACACCAAATTGACTTTAATGATTAGTGGGGACTTGAATTGCTTGTAGCTCCCAGCGTTGAGGATTTTACACTAATTGTGGAAGGAGTTGGTGGTCATTTAACATGTGCAAGGAAAAGTTTCAATTTTTGAGCTAGCTGTTGGTGATTTTGAAATGATTCAAAATCATCTAATTTTATTATTAGAGTCTGGCTGTCAACATTCTTCACGACCCAGATATAGAAGCTTTTCCTCACGATCCAATATGAGAAGAGAGAAATTATTTAACTTATCTCACATCGGTTGCGAAAGAGATTAGTGATCACTTACAAGTGTGAGGAAAAACCAGACTTCTTAAGCTAGCTTTTGATATGGAGACCCAACGTCAACTAACACCCAAACCCACCTCAATTAAGTCAATATTTCAAAATTAAACGTGCCCGATGCTCTGGATTGATAAATGGTTAGGGTTAAAGGTGCACAAACTTTTGATAGAAGAACCAAATAACTTACTAGTCCTTTCCCTTTTGGATCCCTCTGAAAAGCATGCTTAATCACTTTGTAGAAAAGCATCATCATTCAACAATTCATTAAAAACTATTTTCTTGAATAGTATTACTGTATTAGCATAAACTTCTTCAGAATCTTCCTGCACTTCTTGTAATCCAATTACTATCAGTTCATGTTTAACAGATCAGATAAGGCCTTTAGACATTGTGCGCTCTTACCAGAAAACCCAACAATGAGTTTGACACTCCTCTGGTTGGTTTTTAGCTTGCATTTCTCTTCATCTGTTCACGGCTTAGACAACTTTTCCAATGATTCCCTGGATACATTTCTTCAAGATTTTGCTTTCAGAGCACTGGTTCGACACAGGCCTCAAACTGGAGCTTTATACAAAGCTAGTCTTCCTGCTAATCTGTCAGGTGTGGAAGTTTCTATCGCACGCATCCGAAGCCGGACATTGTGGAAAAAGGGGGCTAATCTGAGCAGCTTTCACTTCCCATCCAGGACCGTTCCAGTTCCTCATGTCAGAAGGCTGGCAATAGTGTATCAGAACCTCGGCAACTGGTCTTCTCATTACTACAATGTTTCAGGTTACTCAATGATCTCTTCTGTTGTTGGTTTCATGGTTTTTGACGCCTCAAATTATAAAGCAAAAAGTTTAAGAATTGTCAGCCTTGATACAATGGGGAAGCCTATATTAATTCATTTTTCAAACCTGAAATACCCTGATGGGATGAACTCAGCTGCAGCAAGATGTGCAGCTTTCAACACTAATGGGACAGTTCACTTCAGTGACATGGTCTTGCCCAATGTATGTTACACTTCAGATCAGGGCCATTTCTCTGTTGTTGTTCGATTGGAGAGGAAGCAGAGGCCATGGTATCCATGGGTAATAGGGGCTGTGCTTGGATTTGCTGGGCTGGTTTTGACAGGTTATTTTGGCTTGGTATTTGTTAGACTTTTGAAGACAAAAAGGATTCAAGCAATGGAAAGACAAGCTGATGAAGGTGTGATTTTTGATAGCATATGGGTTGGTAGCAGCAAAATGCCTTCTGCAACAGTAACTAGAACTCCGCCAGTCCTTGAGAATGGAGGTTTTCCGTAACACTTGATTTATCTTATATATATTTTTTAATCTTATATTACATTTTGTGTAATATCTTCTTTTTCTTCTTTGTTTTTTGGCCTTGAGGAGTATGTGCAGCAGCATAACTAAAATATTATAAGTGTTTACGTAAAATTAAATCAGAATACACACTTGATTTCCTCTTTTTAAACTGATAGCTTGTTCTTAATATTAAATTTGCTTGATAAAAAGGAGATTTTCGCCTATACTACCGTGCTTTTCCAGTGTTCCCCTGCCTTACATATCTTATTCATGAGAATGATAATACGTTTATCAAGAACCTAGACATAAGATGTCAAAAAATTGAAAATTCAGTAAGGATGCTCTGAAATTAAACAAAACTTTAATCTTTATCAGAGACATCCTGCTATGGTCCAAATTGTTTCATTTACCTTCTGTAAAACACCTTCAGGAATTGAGCTGGAGGCATTGTATCTAGCAATTGCACTTGCAGCTTCCCTAGTCTTAACCATAGATGACTCCCCACCAGGATAGACCTGGTGAAAATGATTTTCTTTCTTCGCTTCTTTCTTCCCTTTTTCCTTTTCTTTTCCGATGGTTTGGGGCGTTTCCACTCGGGGGTAAGTCAGCAACAAGTCTTGCTATGTTTTATCAACGAAGTTCCCACGACGGAGTAAAAAGGGTAGAATCAATCTATTAAGATCCTTAAGACGAATGAGGTTTGATCATTGAGGTTCTCAGGACTAACAAAGAAGGGTAGAATCAAATCAGTCTATTATCCTCGGACAAATGAGGATTTGATCATTGAGGTTCTCACGACAAATGACGAGGAGCCGAATCAATCTCAATCGGTTCCAACGGCCCAACCAGGTTCGTGCTTTTAATCGGGGTCCGCTGTAAGGCAACAAGTTCGGGCTCCATCGACATAAAAGAGGAAAGCGTATAATCAATCTATTTGATCCCAACAAGTCCATGGAATATAGCAACGAAAAAAAGTCAAAAGTTAAGATGACAAATAGGAGAACACACATATATATATATATATATATATATATAAGAACAATTTACATTGTGACTTCACATTTTACCACCTCAATGAGTATTTGCTACAAAGACGTGACCTTGGTGCTAAGCCTTTCAATGACATGTAGCATATACACACAACACAAAATTATAACATCGGCAATCATTTCTCCCTTACAATCAGTCAGAAGTTTTCAAGTCCTAAATGCAAAGCTACGGCCCACGTGCACTTTACATGAAAATACAGTCATCAAACCAGAAACATGTGAAATCAAAAGCTGATTAGTGTTTCCTTATTCATTTTGACCGATTAAAACGGATGTTGAGAAACCACCTACGGCAAACATGTGCATTTTCAATGAAAAATAAATAATCTCTGCATTGCCCACCAAGTGCCGGAAAGCCTTCAGAAGATCCACCACATAAAGGAGAAACCTGTTCAGAGTTCATTTCTTAAGTTACCAAAATGAAACAGGCAACTGAATCATCTCCACTAGATATTTATCTGCAAACAGAATCGAAGGCATTTTTTGGGGTATGCACAAGTGTTCACCTTATGAGCACTCCATAGTGGCCGGTGTATTCAGGACATCTAATTAAACTCTTGGTCATAAAAACCAAAAATTTTCCTTGATAGCAACTAAATGACAAGGATTAAAACATTGCTCCAGGCAACAGCAATAAACAGAACAGGTTCTTGCCCCATTCTATTTGCAACTGATTCAAGCGTCACCGGAGGTATCTGATTACCGGCTTATCCCAACTAATTCACCGGAAAGCATCAACTTTTATAATTTTGAACCAAGAAAAAGTTTGCAGCTGCTCTACTGTCTACTCTTATCTTAACTAAGATTAGGAATATCATTCCAAGCAAAGAATACAAGAAATATAGTTTCTAGCCCCATCTATTGGAGCAATAAATCACAATGCATTCAAGCAGCAAAAGTAAAAGTGCAACAAATGTCAGATACAAGAAAAAGCCATACATTAGGAGTCACAATAGATGCTACATATTCCTTTATCCAAAATAATTGAGCAGATATTAGCAATGTTGCTGACCCTTTTCCAGTTGCAAAATGCCGATCTTTTTGCCTTTACATTAATAAAGCTACCGAATTTTGACAATCATTTTACCAAAATGTTTAGTTCCAAGTCTTGTATGAATTCATACCATCCCTTCATATTTAAACTTATAACAGGAATATAATGAGATCCAGAAGAAAGCTCTATCTAGTCCACCGATAACCACTCAATTTCTACCATCTCAAAAGGTATGCATTTTATTAACAGAAAAAAACTGCAAGACTGAAAATCACTGCTATGCTGAGGTAGAATCCTATTCCAACATAGAAATATAGCCAATGCTCAACTGAAACAAATAAGTAAACCAGAGTGAAACAAACTAAACTATAAAAGCTCAATTGAGTGCACCAACACCAGCATTACTCTTACGAGCAAGCTTTGTCCACTCCGTGTGAAATGAACCTGGACGGTCAATCCTCTCATAAGTGTGCGCCCCAAACAAGTCCCTCTGAGCCTGCACAAGATTGGCTGGGAGCCTTGCACGCCTATAGGTATCAAAATAGGCAAGACTGGCACACATTCCTGGTGTGCTGATCCCAGCAGAGATAGCCAACCCCACAACTCTCCTCCAAGCTGCTTGCCTTTGAACCATCTCCCTAGCAAACTCGGGGTCCACAACCAAGCTAGCCAAATTGGGATTCCTCTGGTAAGCCTTCTTGATCCTATCCAAAAATACAGCCCTTATGATACACCCACCTTTCCAAATCCTAGCCAATTCTCCCAAATTCAAATTCCACCCTTTTTCAACACTCTTAGCTCTCAACAAATTCATCCCTTGAGCATAACTACATATCTTTGATGCATACAAAGCTTGCCTAACATCATCAATCAATCTTTTCTTATCAATCACCTGTGCTAAACTCCCAACTTCCTCTTTCAATCCAGCTTCTTTTAAAACCCCAGCAGCATTCTCTCTCTCCTCCTTCAACCCACTCAAATACCTACAATCTAATGAAGCTGCGATCGTAGGAGCAGCAACAGACAACTGAGCAGCTTGCTGCACAGTCCATTTCCCAGTCCCTTTCATCCCAGTCTTATCCAAAATCTTATCCACCAAATACCCATCACCCAGCTCGTCCTTAACTCTAAAAATATCAGATGTTATCTCAATTAAGAAACTTTCAAGCTCTCCCTTATTCCATTCTGCGAAAATCTCCGCTAACTCGTCATTCGAAAGCCCCCCAACATGTTTAAGAACATCATAAGCTTCAGAAATTAACTGCATATCACCGTATTCAATTCCATTATGAACCATTTTAACGAAATTACCTGATCCTCCTTCGCCAATGTAAGTAACACAGGGTCCATCTTCGACTTGGGCCGCCACCTTTTCGAGAATGTCTTTAATATTGGAATAGGCTTGGTGAGATCCACCGGGCATTAACGATGGGCCGTTGCGGGCCCCTTCTTCGCCTCCGGAAACGCCCATACCGAGATAAAGAAGACCCTTATTAGAAACTTCTTGGATTCTTCTCTCGGTGTTTTCGTACCACTCGTTACCACCATCGATGATGCAGTCACCGGGTTCCATGTGGTCGGATAAAGAGGCAATGGTTTGATCAACAGGTGAGCCGGCTTTGACTAAGATGACGACAGATCTGGGCCGTTGGATTGAGAGGACAAATTCACGAGGGGAGTAGTGGCCGAAAAGTGGGAGGTGGCCTTCATCTTGGGCTCGCTGGAAGGTTTCGTCGACTTTGGAGGTGGTGCGGTTGTAGACGGAGATTGGGAAGCCTTTTTCAGCGACGTTTAGGGCCAGGTTTTGACCCATCACGGCTAGGCCCGCTAGACCTATGCGAGAAAGGGCAGGGGAGGCTTCCATCTTTTTGGGCGGAAAAGATGAAGAAGAGTAAAGGAAAGGAAATGGGGGGCTTAGTGAAAGATAATTTTTATTTTTATTTTTAAAGGCAGGAGAAGTTGAAGAAAAGAAATATTTTTGGGAGAGTGACGGACTCGTCGAGGGAGTGAAAGGGCAGCCGGTGACTCAACCTACGATGAGAGAGGCGATCAGTTGGTGGAATGAGGTTGGCTGCCCTAAACGCCGACGTTTTAGGCTACGTAAATCAAACTACCTATCCCTTCGTTTCATTTTAATGATTGGAACAATGCCGTCTCAAATGACAATTCATTTCCTTTGGGGTTTGAAGTTTGGGTTCACGGCCCAAGGCCCACCTATCAAACTGCAGTCATATTTTACAGGTTAAGAATATTCCCAATTTGTTTCAATTTAATAAAAAATAACATTTCTTCGCATCACCTGACAAATTCAGTGTTTTGCTTCCAAAATATTCCGTATAAAAATCGAATTTTAATTAACAACGAAATGAAACTATTACCTTTATTAATTGGATTATCTCTTATGAGTAGGTATTATTTCGTTACTAAATGTTTAAAATGATCCTTGCAAAAGTGTTTAAAATAACAAATTTACTTGCATCTTGTTTGTTCACAAACTTGCCTTGAACGACCGATTGGGTGATAGCCTTCAAAACCAAAATTTTCCTTGAAAATGTTAAAAACCAGTTAACACTTAAAAAAGAATATATGCCATCTGGTAATAATTCCTTAATATAGCATTTGATATCTTTTATAAAATTATTATAATAATATATTATTAGAATGATTTTATTATTGAAGTGATCTTAATACTTGTGATTTAAAATCATTTATTTAGTTAATAATGTTAATTTTTAAGAATTAAAAATCACTTTGCTTGTTATTTGTAAAAATCAAACATTATTTTATTTAAAATTATGAGAATAACTATGTATATTATAATATGTACACAAATTAATAATTTTATAGTTGTTTAAAGATAATAATTTTTAAAATATTAGTAATATTTATTTATTTTATAATAAAATTATTAAATTAATAAATATATTTATTGATAGGTAAATTGATTTTTATAATATAAATTATATAAAAAATTTTGAATTAGAAAATAGAATCAATCTATTAAATTCATAATAAAAGAAAAATAAAATAATTATATTATATATAAAATACTTTAAAAAAATAAAAAAATATATGTAAATTATTTTGAACTTATTATAATAAATATTAATTTAAAATTTTAAAATTATAAAATAATTATAATTTTAAGATATAGTAAATTTTTAATTCATATATTAAATTAGTAAATTTGATTACTATTAATTTTACATATTACTTATGTTGATAAAAGCTTTCCAAGATAGTGATATGATCATTTTTTAAAATTCAAAATTACTATCACTTAAGATCATCAAGTGCTTACTAGATATAACGATCTAATTACTATGTATAGATCATCATTATTTTTAAAGTGACCACTCCATATCAACCACAAACTAAAAAAAAAACCGACCATTCACAATGCAAGTTTTCCACGAGGGCCCGGCAGTGCCGGTTAGAAAAACTTTACATTACCAATCTTCTAGACTTGTACCATTATTAGCAGAACGCGACCAATATTCCTGGACCAGCTGCCCGAACAATGATCCCTCCTTATTCATCAGCTTGGTTGGCTCATCGTACTCCACCAATTTCCCTGTCAATCGAAACAGATTATGTATGTTGATTGGTATAACAATTGAAAGGATGGACGTGATTTAACAAAATCATTTGGAGATCAGGATATCTCACCATCACTAATACCAACTACCATGTTGCAGTCCATCACAGTTGGTATTCTATGAGCCACAGTTATCACAGTGCATTCCTTAAATTCCGTTCTTATTGTTTTCTGGATAATAGAGTCCGTTGCATTGTCGATCGAAGCAGTGGCTTCATCAAGCACTAATATCCTGCTCCTCTTCAGCAATGCACGTCCCAGACAGAATAATTGCCGCTGCCCCACACTCCAGTTTGATCCATCTTGTACAACTGCACATCATGTTGTTAGTAGAAGCAAATGCACATCTTTAACGCAAAAAGCAACTCCAAAATCTTTATTTCTTACCGAAGCAGTTCAGGCCGCCTTCTTTCCCTTGAACTGCCTCTCGGAGTTGACACTTCTCAAGAACCTTAACATGCAATGATGAGAAAATGTTCCAGTCAGCAAAAACAGGATTGGAGTAATATGATAGATTTTGTGTATATAACCATATCTTAATAAAAATTAACCTCCCATATTTCATTATCAGTATGCTGTTCTAAGGGATCTAGATTGTATCTGACAGAGCCACCAAAAAGTGTTGGATCTTGAGGGATGATCCCCAAATGTGATCTCAAATCATGAAGCCCAATTGTAGAGATGTTAAGGTTATCAATGATGATTTCTCCACCTGTAGGCTCTACCAGGCGGAACAGAGCACTGATAAGAGTTGTCTTTCCACTACCAGTCCGGCCAACTATCCCAATTTTACTTCCTCCTTCGAATATGCAGCTGATGCCTTGAAGAACAAGTGGAGCATCAGGCCGATATCTAACCTGTTTGATGAATTTGATATTGTGTAAATTCCATGTAAAATCCATAATAAAAAAATGGAGAAAATAGCTAGTGAACTTTCTTTTCCTACCTTCAAATTACGAATCTCCACTTTGCCAACAGAAGGCCAGTCCCTTGGAGGTCGGTTAGCTTCAATTACTTCCGGAGCTTCACTAGGAATATGCATGTATTGTTCTAGCCTTTCTACAGAAACAACTGAACTTGATAGCAAACACTGAAATTTTACAGAAACAACTAGGAATACATTTAATGAGAGGCCATATGCCAGTGCCATTCCAATTAACCCTGCCATTGATGAAATCAATAATTGAAATATTGTTAGAAAACAATCCAAGAGATGAGCACATGTTCACTATTATTTCCTCAAATTGGGGAATGAAACATTTTGGATGAATTGGTTATATCACTGAATCTTTGGTGGAGTTAACTCTTAAGGTTAGGTCATAAGGATGATGCTTGAACTAACCAGATGCAGATGCTCCAAGGGGAATTAAAGTCATGGAAAGGGCTGAGGATGAAAGAACAATTGCACACAGTATTTCCAACCTTTGGATTAACCACTCGTTTGCAGAAAAAGTATGAAAGTCTGTACTTGCATTGGCATCAATCAGGTTCATATTCTTTAAAAAGAATCGGTCTCCCTCTCCAAAAGCTCTGATTGTCATGGCTCCAGCAATGGATTCAGCAAGGTGGCTGGCAACTGAAGACTTTGTGGTGCCATTGATTCGCATCAATTCCTTTGCAGAAGCATAGTAGTGTCTCTAATTGTTTCGAGAAAATAAGTAAAAACACAGTGATGACAAGGTAGAGAAACTAAGAACTAGATAAAGGAAATCATTTTGAGATTTTGAAAGGAGGTAAAAACTTGGTTCCATGCATTTATGTAATACACCTGTAAGAGTACAGTCAGATAAACCATGGGAATGATGATAAATGCAACTGGCCAGGCGAGAATTGCCAATATAAAAATGCTGAAGTAGGTATTCATGGTTGTTCCAAGTGTAATTGATAATTTGAAAGCCATTTCATGGTCGATGATGCTTAGATCGGAAGACACCTATTATAGTAAAATAGAAATTGTGAACTGCAAGTTCAGTAAAGAATTTCTCCAAACTAACCAAAGCATGGAATGAGGAAACTGAAGCTGTGCTTATGAGAACACTCACCCGACTTAGTATCCTTCCCACAGGTGTTGAATCGTAAAAGGACATAGGAGCACAGAAAAGTGACTTTAGCAGTGTGGAAAAAATAGATTCCGATGCTCCACAACCTAGAAGAACTACATAAAAGGATCTCAGGAGCAAAAAGACTGCTAAGGTGCACCCAATCACCGTGAAAACTGTGAGTAATTCTATTCTGCTTACTTGAGAATTTTGGATCTCAGCTGCTAACCAGTAGTTTTGTGTTAACTGCCCAACTATGAATATAACATGGAATAAAATTGCCAAGGTGAAATATAGAAAGCCCTTGCTGTGTCTCAAATATTGCATGTAAGGCTTGAAACCTGTGTCTCCTGTTTCTCTTTCTTCTTGCTTAATCAATTGCTCCCCAGAAGGCACTATTGGCTGTTCCTTAACATGTACATTCTGGATCACGCCTTTGGATGTCATAGCTCTCCCGCTGGAAGAATACGAGATATCCATTTCCGACCCAATTGTGTTATTGTGAGCATTTACAAGGTCCTGGAATTTTCTACTTGAAGCTAGCAGCTGATCATAAGTACCTGCCTCTATAATTTCTCCAGCAGACATCAACTGTCATAAAATAAGATTTGTATCAATGGATACTTGAACAATGCTAGTAAGTGTAGAAACCAGGGGGAAGCAGTTTCTAGTATTGAAGGTTGAGCCCATCAATAGCTATCTTACCAAGATAGAATCAAAAGCTGGAAGGAAGTCGACTTGGTGGGACACAAGTAAGACCGTTTTATCTGACAAAGCTCTCATGACATATTCCTGCATAAAAAAGGATGTTAGATTTAAGTGAATCTATAGGATTAAAGAGACTGCACAGAGACAAAATTTATATTCACATTAAAAAGGCTTGTTGCAGTTTGTGCATCTACGGCACTAAATGGATCATCCAGCAAATAGATATCCGCATCCTGATACAATGCGCGAGCTAATTGAACTCTTTGCTTCTGTCCACCGCTGAGATTAACACCTCTTTCTCCAATTTCAGTGAGGTCCCCGAAAGGAAGCATCTGCAGATCTTTTTCCAGGAAACACTTCTCAAGCACTTCCTGATATCTGAATGGATCCATCACAGAGCCAAAAAGAACATTTTCTTGGATACTTCCAGTTTGGATCCATGCTGTCTGGGAAACATATGCTATCTTTCCATATACATGAACCTGATGGACATAGAAACTTAAGTAACACATCTCCTATATTGACATGAATTAGGCTTTTCTAGCAGTTTACTAATTTGTTTTTCAAATAACTTGAATGTTCTGCAAGTAACTATGTCTATCTTTCAACAAATAAATTATAAAATTCAGAAATATCTTCAATTTAAAGTTTAAACTCTAAACTAGAATCACCATTCTCATTACCTAATTTATGAACCAGAGGAAAAATGCTATACGATGCGGGAATAAAGAGTTTATGTTAATCAGGTGCACTTACTGTGCCATTGACTTTTGGAACTTCTCCAAGAACAGCAGCCAAAAGAGTTGATTTTCCTGAGCCAACCTCTCCACAAATAGCAATATTTTCTCCTAGTTTAACCAATAAATCTATGTTTCTTATCGTAGGTCTGGAGGACGGATTAAGGTCCCAAGAAATTTCATTACACCTGATGAAAATGGAGTGGTCAAACTTTTTGTGATTACATCCTTGCTGTAGCTTTCTGTTTCCCAACTCTGGTGCCTCAAGAAATTTCACAATCCGGTCTAGGGAAACCTTTGCCTCAATGAACACTTGAACAACATCGGGAATTAACCTAACTGGCTCTTGAACAATGCGAATGCTCGCTAGAAAAGTGAAGATGTTACTGGCATTGAGTGGAATTCCTAGCAAGTAGCAAGTCCAGAAAGTAACAGTGGGCACTATAATGGGTGAAGACCAAAACCAAACTAGATGGTACCCTCTTTGTGACAGAGTTCTTGATATCCATTTGAATTCATCTTTCCTTAAACGTTCGATAACATTCTTGAAATGTGTCTCCCAAGCATGTAACTTCAAAACCTTCATATTTGCAAGTGCCTCTGTAATAGCTTGAAGCCTTTTATCTTGTGCCAACATGAGTTTCTTGTGATATTCAAGCTGTAATTTGGTAAGTGGATAACTTGCAACCACTGTCAATATTACAGTAACTAATGCAGAGAAAGTTGCCAGACCCACTGAAGAGTATATAATGAATAATGCTAGACAAAACTGAAGGCTTGTCGACCATATCTGATGAAACCAATATGGAAACTCACCTATTCTATAGGCGTCTACTGTAACATAACTCACTATCTCACCAGGAGAATGAGTCATTTTAACAGCATTTGATAGTTGCAGTTGCTTTTGATATATTGCTGCAGATAGCATAGACCTTATTTGAAGTCCAACCATTCTTGTTTCAAAGAACCATTGTCTCTCAGATACGGACTCCAAGCATTTTGCTATAAGCAGGCCAACAGTCAGCACGTAAGCCTCATACTTAAAGGCTTCTTTACCTTGAACAATCTGAATAAAAGCTCTAAGAAACAGTGGACCTGTAGATACTGTAAGAACCTTGATCAATGCAAAGAACCCTGAAGTTAATATTGCTTTCCAGTGATAATACATAATTACTGAAAACATAGAGAATGAACCACTTGATCTTCTTTGTTTCTCTTTGCTCAGTTGGTCCATATACTTTGAGTAGCATACTTGTGCTTGACATGCCTGCTGCAAAGTTGGAATATCTTTGTTCTCGAGAATCTTCTCTTTACCCTTCTTCAGTAGAGGATTCAACCACCAAAATGACATTTTACTTAAAAGCCCAGCTTTGGCAAAAGGAGTAGAGTTATGATTGAAACTGATTTCATCAGTTGAATCATGTTCCTCACCTTGCAAAGGTGCATAGCAAGCATCTGAATTACTGTCCAGATCAGTGTCCTTCGAACTGTGTCCTTTAAAGGCACATGATACAAATAAAATTGATCCAGGAAAAGATAAAACATCCAAAACGATCTTAATTGACACTGTTTTGTCTAGAATAGCCTCTTGTAGAGATGCAATGCAGAGAAATCCTGCATATAAGAAGGCAAAAACTGAACAAGACTTCACTGCTGTTATACATGGAAGGTTTAGCTTCTTTATGCTCACAGATATGACTAGAAGCAGCCATGTTAATCCTTGAAATATTAGCAGTAGCCATCCATCCAGAGGTAAAACTGTCTGATCCGTATCAAGTTTCTGGTAAATGGTCCATATCCCCCAGGCCAAATAGGCAATACTCAAAATTCCATTAAAAATTGCTGAGAGAATCAACATTGAAGAGAAGCGCTGTGACTTGAAAGGGGTTGTAACATTCTTTATGGACAATTTATAAAAGATGATAAGCAAGGCGACTGAGAGAAGCAGTATATCAACACCAATGATAAAAGCATGATTGATACATGAATATGGATTGAATATTGCTGAAAGACCAGAACTGCATGTTTTCCCAGCTTCCTGTGAACAGCTGGAGTTATTACAGAACAGAATCCATACGCCTTCCCCCATGCTATATCTCTGCTGTTCTGCACCTCGAGTATCTGTAATCTAAACATGCATAGAAATCTGTTAGATTCTTCTCACTTGAACGTGATAGATGAAAGTACAAATATAGAAGTTAAACCAATGCAATATTCCCGTATCAGAGATGCAAAAAAATGCGAAAACTTCAATGGCTATTCTTTCAACGTTTTCAGATACATATTCATGAAAGTCATGTTCCCTTTGAATGTATTAAGAATATTCCACATCTTATCAGGCATAATTATTATCTTCTCAACTGGCCTTGGGAATTTAGATAGAGTTCTTCAGTAGCATATCAAGAAAATAGAGGAAAAAGTGGTCCAAAGAATCTCTTTGCCAGTAGCTTCTTGGTAATGATGAGTGTTTGTGATGATAAGTATGTTTATAGTGAAGATTGAAGCAATATGTCAAACTCAAAAGCTCCAGAGAGTGTATCATCTCAGAATTTAACAAGAAGAAACACAGATTACTAAACAGCGAACATCTAAACTAGTAAGGATTGAGCTAAAATTTAAGGCACACAACTTCTCATACTGAAATGATAGTCTTACTAACCTGGAGACTGATGAAGTATCAAAGATGTGGGAAGAAACTGATCAATAGAAGCATATATACATACATACATGCACACATATGTTTGGCAACTGATTGCAACTGCTTCTTTTCTTTGTTTCTTAGTCTTGGTCTTAAGTATCTAAGCTTTAAGAATGATATGAATGAATGTCAAACATAAAGTGACAAAATCTGATGATAATCATGAACAGGCACCAATTTTTTTCGGAATTTATTCGCCACCAAGTATCAAATAATTATGTCCATTAATAAAGTGTCAGAATCTAGCATGCAATGGTCCTTGCTGTTTTTATTCCACTTCTTTATTCCAAAATAACCCTCTATCAACGATAATGATGCATTCGGCATTATATATATTTACAGTTTTACACCTAGTTGAAAGAGTATGTGCTTTTAGAATACAATCACATTGGTACACATACGCCGGAAAAGGCCTTGAAATGAGGTAGTCAACTCTACGAACTCTGGCCGGTGTAGAATATCAGAGCGAATTATTTGCAGATATCACTTCCATGGGATTATGAACGTATGTAGACGTTTGTGTTTTGCCTACTTTTTTGAGATATTGTTAAAGAGTACTTTCAAGGGTTAATCTTACCCTCAATAATTTGTATAATTAATGCATAGTATTGGGATTTGCCTTGAATCTCAGAATCTCATATCGAAAGTTAAATGAGTTTGAGTTTGTCTTGTATCCCACATCAAGAGTTTAGTAAAGGTATAAAGGGTTTCACCCCTATAAATAAGATGTTTTGGTTTTAGTTTAGTAACCCCAGAGAGTTAGACACCAAGAAAATAGCTAAGTGAGTAGGCTATTAAAGGGTGTAATTGGGTTTTTGGTTAAGTTTTGAGTAAGAAGTTTTAGGAGACTTTTCTCATTCTAAAAGTCTCACAATTGTAAAGATTTATTTGATAGTGGATTAGATTTGGAGTATGCCATTTTGAGTTGGGCTGAACCAAATATATTTGTGTTTTCTTATTCTTGATTTGAGCTTGTTATTTTGTGTGTGGTTGCTGCGCGTGGGAGTTGTTTTTCCCAACAAGTGGTATCAGAGCGAGGTTCGAAGTTCGTGGGTCCAAGAGATCGTGAAGCAGTGTTTGAAGATGTCTGAAGAAGGTATGTCTGATATGTCTATGCCTAAGTTTGAGATTCCGTTATTTGATGGAAAGAGTAATTTTATGTTATGGCAAAGTACGATTCAAGATCTGTTAGTACAACAAGGGTTGGATCAGGCATTAGAGAGTAGTAAGCCTGAAGAAATGTCTGATGCTAATTGGAATAGATTCAGAAGAAAGCCGTTAGTACTATTAGATTGGCGTTAGCTCCAGAGGTAAAATACAGTATGTTGACTGAGAGTACTCCGAAGAGTTTGTGAGATAAGCTTGAAGGTATTTATGCTTCGAAGTCATTGACTAATAGATTATGTTTAAAGATGGATCTGTATTCTCTGAAGATGGAAGAAGGTATGAGTCTCCATAATCACTTGAATGAGTTTAATAAATTGGTTTCTCAATTGTTAGCGATTTCTGTTGATGAGTTAAAAGATGAAGAGAAGGCTTTAATTTTGCTGTCATCTTTGCCCAAGTCTTATAGGCCTTTAGTTCAGACTGTGTTGATAGGCAGGTCTACTTTGAAGTTGGATGATGTGACTGCCCTGTTGCGTGAGAATGAAAGGTTTATGAGAGCTCAGAACTCATCACCTGTGGGGAGTACACTAGCTGTAGAGGGTTTTGATCGAGGAAGGACTCAAAAGAGGATTGATGGATCAAGATGGAGATCTAAGTCAAGAGACAGAGATTACAATGACGTAGAATGTTATTATTGTGGTGAGAAGGGACATATCCAAGTGCGTTACAGGAAGCTGAGAAGAGATATGGCTGCTTTTAAAAGGGCGAATGATGAGAAGAAATTAAATGAAGAAAAGGGTAATACTGCTGCTGTCATGTCTGATGATGATGATGTTGTTTTGACAACTTGTGTGGATGAGACCCAGACTTTGAAAAGTGATAAAAGTTGGGTTTTAGATTCAGCTGCTACAGTTCATGTTTGCAATGATAGAAGCTGCTTTGTGAAGTTGAATGAGAGTGAAAAGTATGGGGATATTGTGGTTGCTAACAAAGAAAAGGTGCAGATTCAAGGCATTGGGAGTGTTCGCCTTAGATCTCACAATGGTGTTATTAGGACACTTCGTCATGTAAGGTATGTACCAAATTGTCACTACAATTTGATTGTTTTAGGTGAGTTAGCTTCTCGGAGGTATACATATTATGGTAGTAATGATTTGTTGAAAGTGTACAAGAATGGTAGTGTGATTCTACAAGGGAATATGGTCAATAATCATTTGTACATGTTTGATGGAGGCTCAGTTGCTGAGATGCCTGTGATAAAAGAAAAGAAGAAAGGTAAGCATGTTAGCTTTGCAGATACTGTTGAAGTGTTTGGAGATTCAAGTCAAGGGAGGATTTGTTGGGATTTGTCTTGAATCTCAAAATCCCATATCGAAAGTTAAGTGAGTTTGAGTTTGTTTTGTATCCCACATCGGGAGTTTAGTAAAGGTATAAAGGGTTTCACCCCTATAAATAAGATGTTTTGGTTTTAGTTTAGTAATCCCAGAGAGTTAAACACCAAGAGAATAGCTAAGTGAGTAGGCTATTAAAGGGTGTAATTGAGTTTTGGGTTAAGTTTTGAGTAAGGAGTTTTATGAGACTTTTCTCATTCTAAAAGTCTCACAATTGTAAAGATTTATTTGATAGTGGATTAGATTTGGAGTAGACCATTTTGAGTTGGGCTGAACCAAATATATTTATATTTTTCTATTCTTAATTTGAACTTATTATTTTGTGTGTGGTTGCTGCACGTGGGAGTTGTTTTTCCCAACAAATAGTAGGTGGCCATGAATAGGATATAAAATGAAAAGAAACCATGCCATCCACGCCGGAAAGGACAAATTTCTTTCAATGTGGAACCCATGAAAAACAAAAGGTTCCTGTCAATTTATCAGCCTCTCCTTCGACAAAGCTGTCAAGGTTAGGTTTAAAGAAGGAAATTATGAAAATGCAGTGACTAATACCCCTCCATTGTTGTCCAGAAAAAAATAAAGAATAGTCATATTTAAAGTTATCGAAAATTCATTCTTGAAAGTTTTAAAAGATTTTTGAAAATTTATTTTCAAAAAACCTTTTTGATTTTTGAAAAGTTTTAAAAGTTTTTGAAAATGAATTTTCAAAAGTCTTTTAAAACCCTTGAAAATCTATTTTTGAGAAATACAATTTTGACAAAAAATTTTTAAAAAAAATTAACTTTCACATGATTTCAACTAAATTAATAAACAAAAATCTTTAAATTTTACATGCAATAAATTGAATACTCGAAAAACTTATGATATAAGAGTTAATTCGATAGTTTTAGAATTAAGTTTAGATTGAATTTAAATTGAGAATGACAGAATGAAGAAAAAAATTAAAAGGGTATGAAAAAAAATATGATTTTATTGAATATAATGTATTTAAAGAAAATAAAGATTTTTATTTTAAAAATAAGTTATATTTAATAACGAGATGTAAAAAAAGTTTTTGTAAGTATAAATAGAATTTTTCAAAATGAAATCACATAGGAAGGTGAATTAACGAAATCACCATTTTATCCCTTTATTTTTTATTTTTTTTATCAATTCTTTCATCGTCATCTTCTTTATAGAATTAAAATTATATTCATGTAATAATAATTCACATAAAAGTAAATGAGAAGAGTCCAACCCGTAACGTAGCTATGTCGTGTTCTTCTTGGGTGTTGTGAGGCACGTTGATCGCATGACAATGCCCTTTGTCGACCCAAAAAAAAATTTTTTTTGAGGAAGCTATTCTTTTTCCTTTTACCGAGATAATGCCTCACTTCATGTTGTTGGTTCTGATTCTAACACAGGATGTTTCGATTCCCTAAAGGCTGAAGCTAGCTTTGATTATCTCTTTGGCGTGTCACTTGCAATAAATTCTTATTTGTCCTGTTCGGTGAAGAGGTAAAATTTTCACTAGCAGGAATCCTTAATATATATAGGATCTTGGTACACAGTGACAGATTAAATATCACGGAAATACATTAAGAAACACTAACTTGGAAAAGTCAAGTATCTTTGCCATGATCACCTTCCTTTTATAAATTGCTCTTTTTTATTCTTTGAATCATCGTTGTTGCTGCCTTGACCAAGCATCATGATGTTTAATATAGAAATTGAAAAAGAAGTTGAATTTTATCATTGCCAGAAACACATACTGAATCAACTCTTTTAACAAGATTCAGCCTCAACTTTTTGAAAAAATCAAATTCAACTATGTAACAAGTACCCGTGTTATCAGATATCAAGGTCATTGAAGCCAAAGATCAAGGTTATTATTATAATCAAATTACTTGATTTGAGCATTTGGAAAAGGTTTAAGTAGTAATGCATTGACGTTTTAGTTTCTGCATAAAATTTTCATTGTTGGGCTTTGGATATGGAAGTTTAGCAAAAAGAGTGGGGAATCTTGGAGATGGAAACGTGTTTGTCGTCTCGAGTAAAGCCAGGTACCAAAAATGCAATAATTGTATCCATCCAGGGCGTCCACAGTGCATTTAAACACGCGCTTTGCGTCGATTGCAGTCCAAGGTTGGAGCCTGGGATTTACCAAAATGGAAGGATGGGACGTTTTGATTGGTATACCAGTTCATGCATCAACTTTGATGGTTCATCATACTCTTTTAACAGTTTCCCTATGAGCATAGACAGAACATTTTGATTGGTATAACAAGGATACAGATGATTTAGCAAGTCTTAGTTTGGTAGACTTAGTAAAGCCAGGTGAGTGGTATGGGATAAATGTATGTAGGACCTTCATAGTGCATAAAAAAAAATGCTCTTTCCAGGGCCAAGGCATCAACTGCAATCCAGGATTGGAGCCTACCAAAATGGATGGAACCGGCATCTGCAAGAATGCTATTTGTGATAAGTGACAACTCAATTATGAATTATCCAAAAAAAAAAGATAAAGTGACAACTATCAGGGAGTTCATTTTATATACAAAACTCCTGCAGATTAATATTCCATTTGTGGCGGCACCTACTAAAGTTGGAAACTTTAAGAATTCAATCCCGGCTGCTATTATTCATAAGTTGCTTAGGCTCTTTAAACAAGCATGTGTTACAGCAGCAACTACACGTCCAGATGTAAGGATAAAACCTTCAAGTAATTTGTAATTCAAGTTACAGGGTTGTCCACCAGGTAGAGTTTGATAGAAAGCTGCATTAACAGTCTTTTGAAAAGGTATCAGCATGTGAAGAACGAGACCAATATTCCTTGACAAGCTGCCCAAACAATGATCCCTGTTTATTCATCAGCTTTGATGGTTCATCATACTCTATCAATTTCCCTGCCAACATAAGCAGAATATAATTGGTAAGCTATAACCATTACTTATAAGCACTATGAGTAATAATCTTTAACAGCAAGTATGGCTGGTGAAAAGTAAAACTCAGTAACTCACCATCACTGATACCAAGCACCATAGTGCAGTCCATCACAGTTGGAATTCTATGAGCGACAGTAATCACTGTGCAGTATGCAAATTCTGTTCTTATAGTTTTCTGGATGATAGAATCAGTTGCATTATCGATTGATGCAGTGGCTTCATCAAGTACTAATATCTGGCTCTTCTTGAGCAAAGCGCGTCCCAGACAAATTAATTGTCTCTGACCTGTGCTCCAGTTTGATCCATCTTGTACAACTGCAGTTCAGGTTGTTAAAACTACCAACTCACAAGAATAAGTAACTCTATGACTTCTATGTCTTACCTAAGGAATTCAGGCCTTCCTCTTTCTCTTGAACAGCCTCTCTAAGTTGACATTTTTCGAGAACCTTAAAGTGCAGTGATGAGAAATATTTTTATTAAGCAATGAAAGGTCAGAACTAGCTATCACATTGTTTCTTACATCATGGAGAACAGCTTTCTTGCCAACATGAGATATAATCACATATGAGCAAACAAAAGCTTACCTCCCATATTTTGTAATCGCTATGCTCTGATAAGGGATCCAGATTGTATCTGACAGACCCACTGAAAAGAGTAGGATCTTGTGGGATGATTCCCAATCGTGATCTCAAATCATGAAGCCCGATTGTGGAGATGTTAAGGTCATCAATGATGATTTTTCCATCTGAAGGCTCTACCAAACGGAACAAAGCACTGATAAGAGTTGTCTTTCCACTGCCAGTCCTACCAACTATCCCAATTTTATGCCCTCCTTCAAAAATGCAGGTTATGCCCTTAAGGACTAGTGGAGCATTGGGTTGATATCTAACCTGCTAGACGATGACAGTAGTATTATACAGCATTTGTGAAAGTATAAATTGCAAATAGAAGAATTAGTACTTATCTTTTGATTTTAAACATATATACCTTCAAATTGCAAATCTCCACTTTACCAACAGAAGGCCAACCATGGGCAGGCCGATTATCTTTGATAATATCTGGAGCTTCACTTGGAATATGCATGTACTGCTCCAGCCTTTCTACAGAGACTATTAAGTTTGCTAGCACACATTGGTATTGGACGGCAACAACAAGGAACAAATTCAGTGAGAGGCCATAAGACAATGCCATTCCAACGAAACCTGCCATCAAAATCAACAACCAAAATATAGTTAAACAAATGAATGAGCACGTATTCTACTAATTGCTAAAAATGTGGAAGAAAAAAGTTTTGGAATGGTTATATCTCTAAATCTTTAAGAGATTATGCAGTACTTGAATTGAAATACCCATAGGACCTATTTCTTAGCTTAGCAGGCACATGTTCAATCTGAAGCTTAGTTAAAACTTGCAGCGTTATGATATTTTCAAGCACTGTGAGTGTATGAAAGCCCTTATAATATTAAGGTAATGGAAACATTGATGATTGAACTAACCAGAGGCAGATGCTCCAAGAGGAAGTAAAGTCATGGCAACTGCTGACAAAGAAAGTACCAAAGCGCAAGGTATTTCTAACCGTTGGATTAACCACTCATTTGCAGAAAAGCTATGGAAATCTGAACTTGCATTAGCATTGATCAGGTCCAGATTCCTTAAGAAGAATCGATCTCCCTCCCCAAAAGCTCTAATTGTCATGGCTCCTGCTATAGATTCTGCAAGGTGACCGGCAACTGAAGACTTTGTTGTGCCATTGATTCTCTTCAACTCCATTGAACAAGCAAGATAGTACCTCTAATTGTTTTAAAAAGAATGAAAAATATTATGAAGGAGAAGCTTATAACTACTAAAAGGAAGTTGCTTTTGCTTTAGTAGCAATACCTGTAGGAATATACTTAGGTAAATCAGGGGTGTGATGACAAAGACAACTGGCCAGGCTAGAACAGCCAGTATCACAAAGCTAGAGTAGGCATTCAAGGTTGACCCAAGTGCAATTGCAAATCTGAAAGGCACTTCAAGATCGACAATGCTAGAATCAGAAGATACCTATTACAGTAAAATACAAATTGTAAGCCTTGTACAAGCTACAAATTTTTACTTAAGCATGGCACTCAAATCAGAGCTGTGCTTTTGAAACTCTTACTCGACTGAGTATCCTTCCCAAGGGAGTTGAGTCATAAAAAGACATTGGTGCCCTGAAAAGTGATTTCACAAGTGTAGAGAAAATAGATTGTGATGCTCCACAACCTAATAGAACTACAGAAAAGGATCGGAGGAACAAAAAGATTGCTACAGCACTCCCAATCGCTGTGTAAACAGTGACTAATTTCAGTCTGCTAACATAAGAGTTCTGGACATTAGCAGCCAACCAGTAGTTTTGCATCAGTTGGCCAATAATGAATATCATGTGGAATACAGCTGCAAAAGAGAAATACAGAAAGCACTTGCCATGGCTTAAATACTGTTTGTAAGGCTTGAGACCTGTGTCTCCTGTTTCTTTTTCTTCTTGCTTAATTAATTGCTCTCCTGAAGGCACAGCTGACTGATCCTTAACATACACATTTTGGATCTCTCCCTTGGATGTCATAGATCTTCTGCTTGTGGAGTGATAAATGTGTATCTCAGAGCCAACACTATGCTTATGTGCATTTACAAGGTTCTGGAATGCTAGACTTGAAGCAAGTAGATTGTCGTAAGTAGCAGCTTCTATGATTTCTCCAGCAGCCATCAACTGCAATAAGATTTGTACAAACGGGTTACGTGGAAAATTCAAATATGTTGAGCAAGATAAAAAAAAAAAAAAGTTAGTTTGCAATGTTGATAAATGTAAAACAGTGATAAATAAAATAGGTGAAAGCAAAAATTAGCAGCTATTTTACAAGTAGCTTACCAAAATAGAATCAAAACCTGGCAGAAAGTGCACTTGGTGGGTCACAAGTAAGACGGTCTTCTCTGAAAGAGCTCCCATGAGATACTCCTGGAAAGGGTTTAACTTTAAGTGACAATTGCATCATCAATGAACAGGTTGCAAAAGATGGAAATTATACTCACATTAAAAAGCCTTGTTGCTGTATGTGCATCTACAGCGCTGAAGGGATCATCCAGGAGATAGATATCTGCATCCTGATATAATGCACGAGCTAGTTGAACTCGTTGCTTCTGCCCACCACTCAGGTTTACACCTCTTTCTCCTATTTCAGTAAGGTCTCCAAATGGAAGCATCTCTAGATCTTCTACTAGGCAACACTTCTCAAGCACCTCTTGGTATCTAAGTGGATCCATAACGGAACCAAATAGAATATTTTCTTGTATACTACCAATTTGGATCCATGCTGTCTGAGAAACATATGCCATCTTTCCATATATATGAACCTGATGGACACATCTCACACATCGTAAGTGAAAGGTTGAAATGTTCTTGTTAGGCTTTCAAGCTGTTAACCTAATTTTCCAAATAATTATTGGTTCACCAAGTTATTGAAGTGTATAATCCAGTTTTTGTAGTTAATATAAAAAATTGTATACCTTCATTATGGACATTTTGCTAAGATTTTCCATTCTTGTAGCCTAATTACCTTATTAATTGACACGATCAGGAAAGAAACTGAACAATCATGCTATCAAAAAAACATTTCTTAAAGATTCCTCACTGTGCTTTCATCATTACGGATGCTTCTAAGTCATGGAAACGTGGAGTTTTTGCTAAATGGTGCACTTACAATGCCATTGAATTTTGGAACTTCCCCAAGAACGGCAGCTAAAAGGGTTGATTTGCCTGAGCCAACCTCTCCACAAATAGCGATCTTTTCTCTTGGCTTAACAAGCAAATTTATGTTCCTTAATGTTGGCTTGGAGGAAGAATCTGTGTCCCAAGAAATTTCAGTAGAGTTGATGAAAATGGAGTACTCAAACTCTTTGTCATTGTGTTTCTGCTGTAAATTTTTGTTTTCTAACTCTGGTGCCTCAAGAAATTTCACAATTCGATCTAGGGAAACCTTTGCTTCAATAAACACTCCGAAAACATCAGGAATCACCCTTATTGGCTCTTGAAGAATATTCAGACTTGCTAAAAATGTGAAAATGTTTCCAGCATTGAGTTGAATCCTAAGAAAGTAGCATGTCCAGAAAGTAACAGCTGGTACAATAACAGGAGATGACCAAAATAGAACTACCTGGAACCCTCTTTGTGTCAGAATTCCTGATATCCACTTGAATTCTTCTTTCCTTAATCCTTCTATAATGTTCTTGAAATGTGTTTCCCAAGCATACAGCTTCAAAACCTTCATATTTGCAAGTCCCTCTGTAATGGCCTTTAGCCTCTTATCTTGTGCCAACATGAGTTTTTTCTGATATTTAAGTAGCAATTTAGCCAATGGAGAACTTGCAAGCACCATTAATATTATGGCACTTAAAGCAGCAACAGTTGCGAGTCCCACAGTGTAGTATACAATAAATAGTGCAAGACATAACTGAAGGCTTGTTGACCATATCTGATGAAACCAAGATGGAAACTCACCTATTTTGTAGGCATCTACACTGACATAATTTACTATCTCACCTGGAGAATGAGTTACTTTAGAAGCATTTGATAGTCTTAGTTGCTTCTGATATATTGCTGCAGATAGCAAAGACCTTATCTGAAGTCCTACCAGTCTTGTCTGAAAGAACCATTGCCTCTCAGAAAATGATTCCAAGCATTTTGTTAAAAAGAGGCCAATAGCCAGTGCATAACCCTCATGCTTAAAGGCTTCTTTGCCTTCAGCAACCTCAATAAACGCTCTGAGGAACAGTGGGCCCATGGACAATGTGAGAACCTTTATCAATGCAAAGAACCCGGAAATGAAAATAGCTTTCCATTGAGAATAGAAAATCAACGACAATCTTGAGGGCAGATCACCTGATTCTTTCCTTTGATCTTTGCTCAGCTGCTCCATATACTTTGAGTAGCATTTTTGTGCTTGATGTTCCTCCTGTAACAATGGGATATCTTGATCCTCAAGAATTTTCTCGTTACCTTGCTTCATTATTGGATTCAACCACCAAAATGACATTGTACTGAAAAATCCAGCTTTGGCAAAGGCAGTAACCTTATGATTGAAACTGATTCCATCAGCTACTTCAGGTTCCTCACCTAGCAATGGTTTATAGCAAGCATCAATGGTATTATCTAGATCAGTGTCCTTAGACTTGTGTCCTTTATAGGAACAAAGAAGCAATAAAATTGATCCAGGAAAAGATAAAATATCCAAAATTATCTTAGCTGACACAGTTCGATCTACAATAGATTCTCGAAGAGCTCCAATACAGAGAAACCCTGCATAAAAAAAGCCAAGAACTGAACAAGATTTCACTGCTGTTCTACATGGAAGGTTTTGCTTCTTCAGATTCACAAATGACACTAAAAGCAACCATGTCAACCCTTGAAATAACACTACTAGCCATCCATGCAAAGGAAAAATTGTCTCATCTGCATTGAGCTTCTGTTTAATTATCCATATCCCCAAGGCCAAGTAGGCAACGGCTAAAATGACATTAGAGACTGCTGAGAGAATTAGCATTGAAGAGAGGTGTTGAGACTGGGAGGCTGCCGTAATCTTCCTTAGAGACAATGTATAAATGAATATGCCTAGGAAAATTATCAGAAGCAGGATATCAACAGAAATTATCAAAGCATGATTGATACATGTAGATGGATTAACAATTGCAGAAAAACCAGTATCGCATGTCTTTCCAACTCCATGTGAACTCTCAGAGTCGCAACAGAACACAGTCCATGCACCCTTCTCCATGTTGTAATCTGTGTCATAAAAGACCTTTAATCATAAACAGGTACAAGAGAGCACGGATTAGAGTTTTGTTACTTCAACCAGATTGATGGAAGCAAGACCATTGAAGTAAAACCAGGATTCAGTGTCTACATTGCATGTATGAAGATGCAAAAACAAAAATTGCTACTAATGATGGCCTTCACTGCAGGATAGATTTTTTTTTTTTTCTAAAAGATGGTCAAACAATATGCATATAGAGTAAGACTTTGCTTAATAGTAAGGATGGAAAGTGGTGAGGATGGAAAATTTGTTAATAGTAAAATTCATAACTATTTTCTTGCTTTTTAGCTTAATCATTAGATTAAGAAAACTTTCATCCTCACCTCTTTCCATTCTCCCTACCAAACAAAGCCTAACTGAATCATAATTGCAAAGATGTAACATCTCCATCGTCATACCACATCAGGAAAAGGTAGAAGAAGCACAAGTAAAAGCAACATATGTTTACAATATTTCTTATCATGGTGAGTGTTATGATGATATGATGTAAATAGTTGTAATAAATAGTACTGACGTCAAACTTAATAGATCTAAGAGAAAATAAATAACTATCAATTACAAAGCTTAATCAGAAGCATCTAAACTTGCAGGGATTGAATAAAGCACACAGATTCTCATATTAGAAGGAAAGTCATGTTTGAGTTTCACCTGAAGACTAAACAAGAGTGACCAAGATGCAACCACAAACCCCAGCTGGAAAGCTGGCTCAACTTGCTTGTGTATTCAACCATGCATCATTATCACACACTGACCCGACCGAGTCAATACTATTACCTCAGTCTTCTTCTTTATGTCCCTTAACTCTTTTATCTTGGAGTTCATTTTCTTTTACTGTCATGACTCATGAAGTAAATTCCAATAGTTATGTCATAAATAAAATAACAATTCCCGTGTAAAGATCATTGAATACGACAAAATAAAGCAACTCTTTCGATCAAATATAGTGGAAAACCACAGAACTTACCCAGTCTGGCTTCTAATCATAATGACCCAGAGGATGGCTCAGTGGTTCCCACCTTAGGGATTGAGGCAGAAGGCCCAACTTGCCCTTCCTTTGTCATTTCGTCCCTATGCTAATCAATTCTCCATAAAAAGACAGTCTAAAATTATGGGAATGGGATATCATCCCAGAGTGAAAGTTTCCTGCTTGAATTCATTTCAAAATATCAATAATGAAAAAGCAACAAACAACAAATACGACATGCCCTCTCTCTGTCTTTCACACACACAGTAACATCAGAACAACTTAAAGGGAAAGTAACCATATTAAAATCCAGCCCTAATATATTAGATTATACTACGTAAGAATGAAGATATTGCACATACTTTAGGGTTTTTTCTACTTACAAAATTATTAATATACTAGTATAAATTTTGTACATTGATAGTGACAGCATTTGGTGAGAACTTGTCTTTTCTACTGAAAACAACTCTACATTTTTATAATCTTCTATAAATATGATTGAAGGTGATAACATCTTTTGTCAAAAGGAGTTGTTTTCAGATACATATATTTCCAAACACTAAACACATTGCCCGTCTATGAAAGCCTTGAGAATTCAGAAGAGGGTGGTTTCTCCTCCCTTTCTTTGGTCCCTTTTTTTTCTCTGAATGTAGTTGAACTCCAGCAGACAGGCTCAGCTCATCTCAGGAGGCAAAATCAGTTAGGTGTTACTGAAATATACAAGAAATCAAAATAAATTAACAAGATCCACTCTGGAGAAATTATTGCAGGAGGGCATCATTTTCAGTTTACGTCCCACTGCTTGTTTTTTGGCTAACAAACATTATTTTCTCATAATAATTAAACTTCACTTGATTTAGACCAAACCCTTTAAAAAAGACCATGATTGATTATAAAACAAGGAGAAGGAGAAGAAAAAAAAATCCCATGTGGATAGATATTTCAGTTTCAACTTTCACCCTCTTTATTCACTTCCTGCCCAGAATCAGACGGTAGATTCCAGACAAGCAAAAATAAAACGGTGAGAACTGAGAAATACAATACAAGAGTGACACAAGATAAGTCTGTGGACCATTATCAAAAATTGAAAGCATAATTTTTCTTTTCTTTTCTTTTCTTTTCTTTTTATAGTTTTGACAAATTTACTGTTTATGTTCTCGGCCGACTGTAGCTGTGTCTACGTGCAAACCTGAAGAGACTCGCGGGCCAACATAGATAACAAAGCCAAAAGTGTAGGCTAATGGAAGTGAAACGAGACATTTTTTTTTCTTAAAAAGAGCGACAAGTTGGCTTTTTTCCCATAAATGGCCTGACGTCTATCGCTTTCACAGGAGACTGGCCTTTTGGGAGTTTCAGATCTTTGCTAACCTCTTATGTTTCCCATTTCAAGTGGCCTTCCATCCCCAAATCTTATATGTTCTGTCCTCGTAGTCCTTTTTTTTTTAGTATCTTATAAATTCGCGTATTTTTTTAATATTTAATTCGTATTAAATATATATAAAATATAAAAATTATTTGTATTTTTTGTACCATTTTTTATTAAGATAGTGTTATGGTATTTAAAATTAAACATATATCTAAATTCAAGTAAACTACAAAAAAAAATCTTCCATTGGATTCAGAAGTCATTAACGCATAGTAGAAGTACGATAAAACAGGAAAAAAAAAAAAAAAAGACAAAGGCATAGATTAATTAAACTGATTGATTAATAGATTTTATTAACTTAACAAGTCAAAGATTTTTTGTTGGCCAGAAACTGAAATTGTGTCGGCATGATATTTCTGGTGTGATGATGCAATCAAACACTTACTCCAGGTTAAAGCGGGTCCGATGATCTAAGAAAATTGAGTGCTTAGGCCTGGATGAGTGTCATGAGTCAATCTTATATAAGATCGTGATCGAAACTTAGATTGTCATAAATCCTTTATGTATAGAGTCATAATTGGATAAAGGTATCAAAGGGAATGGTAGATCTTTTGTGCTAAAAAAAATATTCTCATTTTAAATATTGTAACGATTAATAATAGTATAGTTCTAAAATTTTTTAGGTTCTATAGAAAAGTGAGCAGTCAGCATATTATTGGGTTATCTCACTGGTTAAGGTATGGATATAAGCCACCCGTCAAAGGCTGCCCCTTGGCCCTGATGATGATGTGAAGTTTCGATGTACTATTTTCGATAATAATAAAATACGTCTTTTATTCGAAAGTTTTGAGTGTTATCTCGATGTGTTTTTCGTTCTCTCGATATGAATGTGTTTTTTTGTGTATGCTTGAGATTAACTGTGACTTATGATTACTTGTTCAGATATCGAGCTATCGTTGGCTGACTTAGGTGGGAACGTCCATTCAAGTACCACACGGTCGATCGCTTGTTAGGAGAAAACTTAGCATGTGACACATGGTATCAGAGCATAGTGTGAAGTGTTAGAGAATTGAAGAAATGGCCACGAATGATAGTGTCAACCATCAACAAAGAATTGAAGAGCTTGAAGTCGCGGTGGCCACTTTGAAAGCTCATGTGATTACGAACGATCGTCTGAGGGAGAGTGAGACAACCTAGCGAAAGTTGTCCGATACTCTACATAGCTTCAGTGAAGAGGCTAGAGATGCCTTGAATGTCCTCTAAAAAAAGTTTGAGGAGCTCAGGGCCCAAGTGGGCATCTTACAAGTGACGGTGGCTAGATCGAGTTCTAGCTCGATGGAAAGGAAAAAAATGACCAAGATGCCTGAGCCCCGATGCTATAAAGGGGCAAAAGATGCCAAAGAACTTGAGAATTTTCTATTTGACATGAAGTAATACTTTTGAGCCGTGCGTACTGAATCAGAGGAAGACAAGGTGGCAATGACATCAATGTAACTTGCAGGGGATGCCAAGCTTTGGTGGCATTCAAAATTTGTAAATGATGAATGTCCTATCAAAACTTGAGTGGACCTGAAGCAGGAATTGAAAAATCAGTTCTTTCCTAAGAATGTAGAGTGTATGGCTCGAAGGAAGCTTTGAGAGTTGGTGCAAACGGGAACAGTGCAGGAGTTTGTAACGAGCTTTTCTACCATAATGTGGGACATTAGAGACATGTCTGAAAAGGATAAAATGTTCTATTTTCTTAAGGGCCTCAAACTGTGGGCCAGAACAGAATTGCATAGGAAAAATGTGCAATATGTGACCACGACCATGACTACAATGATGGCTCTTCAAAATAAAAAAATCCTTTATTAGGTGACAGTAACTCCATCTTTAAGAGTGGTGGAAAGATGACCAGAGTAGATCGACCCTTCAGTAGGAGATCAAATAAGAGGCCTTTTGATCGAGACAACACCCAACCCAAAGCAAACAACGCAACATGTTTTAAGCATAGGCAACCGTTAGCTTGTTTCCTATACAATAGGCCGCACCGAGTGGCTGAATGCCCGCATAGAGGGGCCATTAATGCCTTGAGAGCTTCGTCTCAAGATTTCGTAAAAACGCCCGAGACAGTCAAAAAAATTGATGAAAAAACGGCCATGATGGGCTTCATGCAGTTTCTAAATGCCCTTCGTACCTAGCATAACATGATAAAGAGAGAACCGAGTAAAGGCTTGATGTATGTAGACCTGGAACTCAATGAGAAGACCATAAGGGCTATGATCGATACAGGTGTAACCGATACCTTCATCACACCCGATGAAGCAAAAAGATATGATCTCAAGATGAACAAAGATATGGGTAAATAAAAGCGATCAACTCACCAACCTTCACAATCAGTGAAAGCTCTAAAAATGTGATGACCAAGTTGAGGCCATGAGAAGAGAAGGTAGACATCACAGTTTCCCCCATGGATGACTTTGATATTGTCTTCGGATTGAACTTCATGATGTTAGCTTAGGCGACACCAATCCTCGCCGCTAGTTGTCTATTGTTCTTACGGGAGCAACCCTGTGTGGTGCCAGCCACAATCTTGTCGAAAGAATGAAAAGAAGATAATCTCAGCACTACAATTTAAGAAAAAGATAAAGAGAGAAGAACCTTCTTATATGGCGATGCCGATCTACAAGGATGGGATAGAGTTAGATCCAATACCCGATGGGGTGAAAAGGGTATTGAAAAAGTTTAAAAATGTGATGCCAGAATAATTACCTAAGGTCTTACCTCATCGAAGACCGATTGACCATGAAATTGAACTTCTCCCATGGGTTAAACCCCCTGCTAAGGCCTCATACCGCATGACTCCACCAGAATTGGTCGAACTAAGAAAACAATTGGATGAAATCTTACAGATCGGGTTCATTAGGCTGTCAAAAACATCTTTTGGAGCACCTGTGCTATTTCAGATCAAACATGATGGAAGCCTACGACTATGTGTCAACTACAAAGCCTTAAATAAGGTCATCGTGAGAAACAAGTACCCGATTCCCCTTATTGCTGATTTGTTTGCCCAACTGAGTCGAGCCAAATACTTTTTCAAATTGGACCTGAAGTCTGGCTATCATCAAGTCATAATTACGAAGGGAAATGAACCGAAAACAACCTGTGTAACCTGGTATAACGCATTTGAATTTCTTGTTATGCCTTTTGGATTAACCAATGCTTCTACTACATTTTGTACCTTGATGAATCAAGTGATCCACGATTACCTTGACAAATTTGTAGTGATTTATTTGGATGACATAGTGGTATACAACTCCACTTTGAAAGAACACCAAGAACAATTGCGCCTAATGCTTCAAAGATTACAAGACCACAATGCTTCAAAGATTACAAAACCACCAGTTATATGTGAAAAGAGAGAAATGTGCCTTTGTTTAGACCCAAATCCATTTTCTAGGTCACATTGTCAAACAAGGTCATTCGAATGGATATGAAAAAGGTTAGAGCCATTAAGGAGTGGACAACACCCAAAAATGTTAGTAAGCTTCACTCGTTTTTATGATTGACCAACTATTACAGAAAATTTGTAGAAGGGTACTCCCGTAAAACTATGACCCTCACAGAACTATTGAAAAATAAGCATAAATGGTGTTGGACGATTGAATGTCAAAATGCATTTGAAGGACTGAAGGAAACCGTTATGAAAGATCCCATCTTGGCCCTCCCCGACATCGAACAACCCTTCGAAGTCCAAACAGATGCTTCTGACTTTGCTATTGGGGGAGTACTCCTACAAGCACAGCATCCAATAGCATTTGAAAGTAAAAAGCTAAGTGAAGCCGAAAGGAAATATACTACCCAAAAAAAAAAAAACTCCTAGCAATAATTCACTATTTGAAAACTTGGCGACATTATATGTTGGGCTCGTACTTTGAAGTGAAGATAGACAATGCGACAATTAATCACTTTCTCACCCAACCAAGGCTCACAGCGAAGCCAGCTCGATGGCAAAAATTTTTAGCTGAGTTTGATTTTTGTTTTGAGCACACCGCTAGAAAGACCAATCAAGTGACTGATGCATTGAGCATACGAGCAGAGTTAGCGACCCTTAAAAGAATTACTTCAATGACGGCTAGTAGAGTTGCGACGAACTTTCGCAAGTTAATTGAAGATAATTTGAGAAAAAACTCGTAGACCAGTGCCATCCTGAAGCTAGCTGAAGAAAGGAAGTCGAAGTATTTCTGACGAGAGAATGGGGTCTTGTGGATAAAGGGTCCTCGATTGTTTGTGCCGAAGGTAGAGGGTTTGAGATAGATGCTAATGAGAGAGTGTCATGATACACCATGGGCTGAACACCCAGGTTGGCAACACCCTTTTGCCTATTAAAACAGGGATACTATTGACCTCACATGCGACAAAACATGATGGACTATACAAAGACTTATCTCATCTGCCAACAAGACAAAATTGAAAAGAAAAAACTTGCAGGCATGCTTAAACTACTATCGGTTCCTACTAAACCGTGAAAAGGCATCTCTCTTAACTTCATTTCAGGTCTTCCCAAAGTTGACACTCTTGGAGCTATTTTGGTGGTGATTGATCGTTTCTCCAAATATGCCACATTCATTCCCACCCATAAGTATTGTACTATAGAAGACACAGCTCAACTTCTGTTCAAACATGTGATCAACTATTAGAACCTCCCTCAAAACATTGTAAGCGACAAGGATTCAAGATTTATGGAGTCTTTTTGGAGAAAACTTTTTAAGATATTGAGGTCTCAACTCAACATCTCTTCAAGTTACCACCCTCAAACCGACGATCAAATTGAACAGTTCAATGGACTACTAGAAGAATACTTAAGACATTTTGTTCAAGCCAATCAGAAAGACTGACCTTCATTATTGGACGTCGCTCAGCTTTGTTTTAATTCTAACAAAAGCTCTTCCACCAACAAGAGCCCATTTGAAGTGGTCACTGGACAACTACCAAGGCTACCCCATACATCTCTAGAGCAATATGGAAGGAAAAACCCAAGAGCCTTCAACCTCGATAAAAAATGAAAGCAAAACACAGAGATTGCACAAGCCTACCTGGAGAAAACGTCGAAGCAAATGAAAAAATTGGCAAACAAAAGTCGCAGGGTGCAACAATTTCAAATTAGTGATTTGGTTCTTGTTTGACTAGTCCCTAAATAAATAAAGTTCTTGAGAAAGTGAGATCGAAGATTGGTGCGCAAATATGAGGGTCCAGTAAAGATCCTATCCAAGGTGAAAAATACTTCTTACAAAATTGACCCACCAAAATGGATGAAAGTGCACCTAGTATTTCATGTGAGCAACCTAAAACCTTTTCATGTAGATCCTACAGATGCTAGCCGAAGAGAGCCAACCAAAGCCGCCATCACTATGAAGCCACCCTCAGAACATCAGGTTGAAGAGATCTTAACTAACAAGAAAACCAAGATATCTTGAAGACTAGTTCATAAATACTTAGTTTATCAATGTAACTTGCGGGGGATGCCAAGCTTTGGTAGCATTCAAAATTTGTAAATGATGAATGTCCTATCAAAACTTGAGTGGACCTGAAGCAGGAATTGAAAAATCAGTTCTTTCCTAAGAATGTAGAGTATATGGCCTGAAGGAAGCTTCGAGAGTTGGTGCAAACGAAAACAATGCGAGAGTTTGTAAAGAGCTTTTCTACCCTAATGTTGGACATTAGAGACATGTCTGAAAAGGATAAAATATTTTATTTTCTTGAGGCCCTCAAACCGTGGGCCAGAACAGAATTGCATAGGCAAAATGTGCAATATGTGGCCATGACCATGGCTGCAACCGAACGCCTTCATGACTACAATGATGGCTCTTCAAAACAAAAAAATCCTTCATTAGGTAACAGTAACTCCATCTTTAGGAGTGGTGGAAATATGACCATAATGGATCGACCCTTCAGTAGGAGATCAGATAAGAGGCCTTTTGATCGAGACAACACCCAACCCAAAGCAAACAATGCAACAAGTTTTAAACATAGGCAACCGTTAGCTTGTTTCCTATGCAGGGGACCGCACCAAGTGGCTGAATGCCCGCATAAAGGGGTCATTAATGCCTTGAGAGCCTCGTCTCAAGATTTTGTAAAAGCGCCCGAGACATTCAAAAAAATTGACGAGAAACTGACCAGGATGGACTTCATGCAGTTCTTAAATGCCCTACATACCTCGCATAACATGATAAAAAGAGAACCGAGTAAAAGCTTGATGTATGTGGACCTGGTACTCAATGAGAAGACCATAAAGGCTATGATCGATACAAGTGCAACCGATACCTTCATCACACCCGATGAAGCAAAAAGGTGTGATCTCAAGATGAACAAGGATTACGGGTAAATAAAAACGATCAACTCACCAACCTTCACAATCAGTGAAAGCTCTAAAAATGTGATGACCAAATTGAAGCCATGGGAAGGAAAGGTAGACATCACAGTTTCCCTCATGGATAACTTTGATGTTGTCTTCGGATTGGACTTCATGATGTTAGCTCAGGCGATACCAATCATCGCCGCTAGTTGTCTATTGTTCTTAGGGGAGCAACCCTGTGTGGTGCCAGCCACAATCTTGTAAGAAGATAATCTCAGCATTACAATTCAAGAAAAGGATAAAGAAAAGAGAGCCTTCTTATATGACGATGCCAATCTACAAGGATGGGATAGAGTTAGATCCAATACCCGATGGAGTGAAAAGGGTATTGAAAAAGTTTAAAAATGTGATGCCAGAACAATTGCCTAAGGTCTTACCTCCTCGAAGATCGGTTGACCATGAAATTGAACTTCTCCCATGGGTCAAACCCCCTGCTAAAGCCTCATACCGCATGACTCCACCAGAATTGGTCGAACTAAGAAAACAATTGGATAAACTTTTACAGATCACGTTCATTAGGTTATCAAAAACACCCTTTTGAGCACCTATGCTATTTCAGATGAAACATGATGGAAGCCTACGATTATGTATCGACTACAAAGCCTTAAATAAGGTCATCGTGAGAAACAAGTACCCGATTTCCCTTATTGCTGATTTGTTTGATCAACTTAGTCGAGCCAAATACTTTTTCAAATTAGACCTGAGGTCTGGCTATCATCAAGTCAGAATTACGAAGGAAGATAAACCGAAAATAGCTTGTGTAACTCTATATGATGCATTTGAATTTCTTGTTATGCCTTTTGGACTAACCAATGCTCCTACCACATTTTGTACCTTGATGAATCAGGTGTTCCATGATTACCTTGACAAATTTATGGTGATTTATTTGGATGACAGTGGTATACAACTCCACTTTGAAAGAACACCAAGAACACTTGCGCTTAATACTTCAAAGATTACAAGACCACAGTGCTTCAAAGATTACAAAACCACCAGTTATATGTGAAAAAAGAGAAATGTGCCTTTGTTCACACCCAAATCCATTTTTTAGGTCACATTGTCAAACAAGGTCATTCGAATGGATATGAAAAAGGTTAGAGCCATTAAGGAGTGGATAACACCCAAGAATGTTAGTAAGCTTCGCTCGTTTTTACGATTGACCAACTATTACAGAAGATTTATAGAAGAGTACTCTCGTAAAACTACGACCCTCACAGAACTATTGAAAAAGAAGCATAAATGGTGTTGGACGATCGAATGTCAAAATGCATTTGAAGGACTGAAGGAAACCATTATGAAAGATCCCACATTGGCCCTCCCCGACATCGAACAACCCTTCGAAGTCCAAATAGATGCTTCTGACTTTGCTATTGGGGGAGTACTCCTACAAGCACAGCATCCAATAGCATTTGAAAGTAAAAAGCTAAGTGAAGCCGAAAGAAAATATACTACCCAAAAAAAAAAAAACTCCTAGCAATAATTCACTGTTTGAAAACTTGGCGACATTATATGTTGGGCTCGCACTTTGTAGTGAAGATAGACAATGCGGCAATTAATCACTTTCTCACCCAACCAAGGCTCACAGCGAAGCCAGCTCGATGGCAAAAATTTTTAGTTGAGTTTGACTTTTATTTTGAGCACACCGCTAGAAAGACCAATCAAGTGATTGATGCATTGAGCATACGAACAGAGTTAGTGACCCTTAAAAGAATTGCTTCAATGACGGCTAGTAGAGTTGCGACGAACTTTCGCAAGTTAATTGAAGATAATTTGAGAAAAAACTCGTAAACTAGTGCCATCCTGAAGCTAGCTGAAAAAAAGAAGTGAAAGTATTTCTGACGAAAAAATGGTGTCTTGTGGACAAAGAATCCTCGATTGTTTGTGCCGAAGGTAAGAGGTCTGAGATAGATGCTGATGAGAGAGTGTCATGATACACCATGGGCTGAGCACCCAGGTTGGCAACGCACTTTTGCTCTATTAAAACAAGGATACTATTGACCTTACATGCGACAAAACGTGATGGACTATACAAAAACTTGCCTCATCTGCCAACAAGATAAAGTTGAAAAGAAAAAACTTACAAGTATGCTTAAACCACTACCGGTGCCTACTAGACCGTGGGAAAGCATCTTTCTTGACTTCATTTCAGGTTTTCCCAAAGTTGACACTCTTGGAGCTATTTTGGTGGTGATTGATTGTTTCTCCAAGTATACCACATTTATTCCCACCCACAAGTATTGTACTGCAGAAGACACAGCTCAACTTCTGTTCAAACATGTGATCAACTATTAAGGCCTCCTTTAAAACATTGTAAGCGACAGGGATTCAAGATTTACGGGGTCATTTTAGAAAAAACTTTTTAAGATAATGAGGTCCTAACTCAACATCTCTTCAAGTTACCACCCCAAAACCGACGATCAAACTGAACGGTTCAATGGATTACTAGAAGAATACTTAAGGCATTTTGTTCAAGCCAATCAGAAGGACTGACCTTCATTATTGGACGTCGCTCAACTTTGTTTTAATTCTAACAAAAGCTCTTCCACCAACAAGAGCCCATTTGAAGTGGTCATTGGATAACTACCAAAGCTACCCCATACATCTCTGGAGCAATATGAAGAGAAAAACCCGAGAGCCTTCAACCTCGATAAAAAATGAAAGCAAAACACAAAGATTGCACAAGCCTACCTGGAGAAAACTTCGAAGCAAATGAAGAAATGGACAGATAAAAGTCGCAGGGTGCAACAATTCCAAATTAGTGATTTGGTTCTTGTTTAACTAGTCTCTGAATAAATCAAGTTCTTGAGAAAACGAGATCGAAAATTGGTGCGAAAATATGAGGGTCCGGTGAAGATCCTCTCCAATACGGGAAATACTTCTTATAAAATCGACCCACCAAAGTGGATGAAGATGCACCCAGTATTTCATGTGAGCAACCTAAAACATTTTCATGCAGATCCTACAGATGCTAGCCGAAAAGAGCTAACCAAAGCCCCCATCACTATGAAACCACCTTCAAAACATCAGGTTGAAGAGATCTTAGCTGACAAAAAAACTAAGATATCTCGAAGACTAGTTCATGAATACTTAATGAAGTGGGATGGGTTAGGACCAGAGAAAACTAGCTAGGAAAGAGACCACGACCTCTGGGCATTAAAGAGAAAGATTGAAGAATTTCAAGCCAACAAATCGACGAAGACGTCGATAGATTACGTGGGAGAAGATGTCATGAGCCAACCTTTTATAAGATCATGATCGAGGCTTACGCTGTCATGAACCACCCATGTATAAGGTCATGATTAGGTAGAGGTGCCAATGAGGGAAGACAGATCTTTTGTGCTAAAAAAAATATCTCCATTTCAAGCATTATAACAATTAGTGATAGCATAACTCTAAAATCTCTTAAACTCTTTAGGAGAGTGAGCAGTTAACATATTATTGGGTTATCTCACTGGTTATGGTACAGACGTAGGCCACCCGTCAAAGGCTACCCTTGACCCCGACGATGGTGTGAAATCTCGATGTACTATTCCTGATAATAATAAAATACGTCTTTTATTCGAAAGTCTCGATGTTGCCTCGATGTATTTTTCGTTCTCTCAATATAAATGTGTCTTCTTGTGTATGCTTAAGATTAACTGTGGCTTATAGTTGCTTGTTCAGATATCGAGCTATCATTGACTGACTTAGGTGAAAGCATCCATTCAAGTACCGCACGATCTATCGCTTGTTGAGAGAAAGCTTAGCCCGTGAAAATGGGCCTGCATTAGCATGAATGTTAAAGTGATGAATCATACACACTATACAAAATTTAATTCCAATTGCAATTAAACATGTAGAGTAGCTAAAAGATGAATGGCATATCCTTCTTTTGCCTAATATTTATCACGACGTTTATCACGTATACAAAATTTGGTTATAAATAATCACTATGGCCTTCCAAAACCGACAAATTCCAGATTAAATTGCAACTGCTATTAAGCAGAGCCTTAAAATGGCCGGCTTTGATTCTTAAGTTTTTCAGACTCTAAACACAAAGCATACCTCGCAGTGAGGCCAGGCGTTGCATGAATTTCAATGTAGAATTGTAGGGGCAAACAAATAAAAGCGCCAATGGTGGGAGTATCTGTATCCTATGTCAGAAAACTTCACTATCAAAAGTGGCTTCAGCACTCAATTCGAACAGCCCCACTCTCTGACGAAATGAACTTTGGTTTCCTAACCACTTGCTCCAAGCATTGGATGATGTCTCCAATCTGGAAAGTATCACAATCACAAAGCACGAGTCCACACTCATTCCCTTTTCCCACTTTCTCAACATCATGCTTTTCCTGCTTCAATGACGTGCAAGATCCTTCAAACACAACTTCTCCACTTCTCAACAGCCTCATGGTTGATGATTTGTAGAAACAACCATCAATTACCCGGCAACCTGCAATCTTCATATCCCCGCCCTTTGCTTTGCTCTTTCCTTTAAGCTCAAAGATATTCAACACCTCAGCCTCCCCAGCTACCTGAGTTTCACAAGTGCCAGGGGCCTTGTCTACTATCATATTGCCAATGTCCTCCAAAAGGTGATATATTACACGGTGTATCAGTATCTACAAGCAATATAAATAATTAGGTTCAACAAAGTTCCGTTCTGGTGCTTGTACAATACAGTGACATAATTGTACGAACCCCCCAAAAAAAAAAAAACTCAATAGAAAATTTCTCCTACTTCCCCACAAGGTAAAACTTAGGAGGGTAGAGATCAAGACTGAGTTTGATGGAATGGCAGGTTAGTACCTTTACACTGGCTTGAGTGGCTGCCATACTAACAGAAACAGCTGGACTTTTAACATTGAATCCGATAATGCGTGCACCACATGCCTGTGCTAGGTCCACATCAGATTGAGAAACAGGCCCCACTCCAACATGGACTACATTCACGAAAACCTGGAGGCGAAATTGGAGAATGTATCAATAACAAAGCACGGCAACAGAAGAGAGAACCAATAGGATTAGTTTAACTAGTCAATATCAATGACCAGCATCACTTCCTTTTCATTTTTGTATTTCATCTTCAAAACCGGAAAAATTTTGCAGCAATGTGAAGCCCGAAGGTCCATGCTTTAAGAAAATAATAATTCTGCATATATGACTACATGTAACAAATGCTTATCAAAAAAGATTACTGGTACCAGTTGAGAGGGATGCCAAACAAATATCAGCAACAAAGGACATGGGGTTAAAACCTCAAAAACGAGGCAAAAAAAAATTGTCAGATAACATAGCTTGGCTTTCAAATATACCTGCGGACTATTTAAGGTTTTCAATGCATCTGTGACAGCCTGGACAGTGCCCTGTACATCACCTTTTACAATTATTGGCATTTCAGCCCTCTGAGGCACCTCTTCTGATCGCTCCAAAGCTTTAGCTCTTCCATCACTGATCTTCCAGAGCCTATCTTTCTCAACTTTCTTTTTCCTCCCTGAACTAAGCATTCTAGCTCGCTCCTCAGATTGCACAACGATAATATCATCACCAGCCATCGGAAGCCCCTTCAAACCTTCAATCTCAACTGGCATTGCAGGTGTTGCCCGCTCTGTCAATTTCCCAACCATATCTCTAATAGCTCTTATTCTGCCCCACTCTGAGCCCACAACCACATGCTGCCCACAAATCAAAGTCCCTGCTTTTACAATTGCAGTGGCTAATGGGCCTCGCCCTTTGTCAAGTCTGGCCTCCACGACATAAGCTTGAGCAGGTCCATCCACGCGTGCTTTTAGGTTCATCACCTCAGCCTGCAGTAGCAAAGCCTCCTCCAAGTTATCCAATCCAGTTTTCTTTACTGCTGAAACTTCTACCACCTGAATATCTCCACCCATATCCTCCAACAGCAAACCCTCTGAAGCAAGCTGTATTTTTACTCTCTCTGGGTTAGCAGCTGGTTTATCACATTTGTTTACTGCAACCACAATTGGGACATTAGCTGCCTTTGCATGGGCCATGGCTTCAAGAGTCTGGGGCATCACACCATCATCAGCAGCTACAACTAACACAACTATATCTGTGACTGCTGCACCTCTTGCTCGCATTGCACTAAATGCAGCATGACCAGGGGTGTCAAGGAATGTAATTGATGCCCCTGATGACATGCTAACAACAAAAGCACCAAGATGTTGAGTTATGCCTCCAGCTTCTTTGGCTGCTACTGATGTTTGACGTAAAGCATCTAAAAGAGAAGTTTTACCATGGTCAACATGGCCCATAACTGTCACAACAGGTGGTCGTGGGAGAATTTCTGCACCCTCACTGGCATGTATCCTCTTGACACTGGCTCCAACTTCCTGCAAAATCATTAAGAAGTCATAAGATGTCCCAAAGCAGGCTTTAACATAACATATTATAATGAGCCCAAGGCAAAAGAAAGGATTAGAGAGAGAGAGATTCAATAAATAAAGCAAATACCACCGCATTGTTATATCATATGTTATTCAACATAAAACCAGAAATGTTGTAGAAAGAACACTGTGCAAAAGTAAAATATATTTCAAGTCAGGAAGAGAAATCATCGTCAGATTTTTTGAACAATTTCTATCTAACCTAACCAATTCCCCTTTCTAAGAGCTCTTCCTTGACAAAAGATAATGCTAGGATGATGGTTTAAAACTAATAATTCCATCAGCAGTCTATATGAGCATGCATACAAGTTTTGTATTTTCAATTGCGAATAAGATATTTCTCTAAAAGGTCAGGCTGTTAAGAAGGGAAAATACCATTGCAATGAGCTCCGCAATATCAATACTTAGAGGATGAAATTCTGAATCAATGCTTTCCCCAACATTTATGAGAATATCCTGAAGAGCAGCTACGTGCTCACCAGTTCGCTTTGCAAGCTCAACAATGGTCATGCCGTCAAAAATCTCGACAATTTTCTCTTGTGAAGATTTGTTAGTTCTTTTCAGTTTAGGAACATATGGAGCTTCAACAGGTGGCTGGGTCTTCTTTTCCCGCTTGACAAACTTCCCTTTGGTGTTTTCTTTGTTGCGAATCTTTAAACCCAACCCCTCATCATTTTTCCTTCTAGCCAGCAATTCCGGACTTGCATGAAAATACCTAAGGACGACCAGGGTTCCACAATTAAATACCAAAATTCAAGTATTGAAATTATACTTAAATCAGGCATTTTGAAATTCAAATCAATAAAACCAGGTTAATGCCATTCCAAATTCTAAAGTTTTTTTGTTCCAAGGATAGCTGTTTTACATGTCTTAGAAGAAGATAACAAAAATATATGCTTGAACTCTTGGTGAATATATTTACCTCAAGTTATAGCAACATTTAAGCTACTTAAATATTAGAAGAGCAAAGTCAATATAATGAAAGGCATTGGTCCTCTCCAAAGGTCTACAAGGTTAAAAAATTATGTGGAGATAGTAGTCTCCCTTGACTGAATACACAAGTAATTGAAAGAAAACAAAATCAACCCACTTGAAATAAAAGAGAATCAAGAAAGCCAACTTACCGTATCAAAGGTTCATTTTTCAAAACTTCGCAATACCTAGATCCCCATAGAAACGAACTGAAAGAGAACTCTGCAGTAGCAAATATATGAGGTGAATCTGATAGCACAAAATCACATTACATGGTTAATTGGATATTTTAAATAACATCAATGTTCTGCTGAACTCAACCAACTAGAACTATGCAAACCATTTTCAATCTTTGATAAAGTAAATGAGATAAAAAATTGTTGAGTGACTAATTCATTGTAAAACCCATAATTAGAGAACATAACAGAAGCCTACTAACCAACCATACGTGCAAGCTCTTACATTCATAGATTTAAAATGGAAACTTCTATAATGACATGTACGCATATGTTTTATACACAAAAATTAAAAGGCTAAGGCTTGCATAATAAATATGGCTTTTCAGCCTACCAGGTACGCATTTAACAGAAGCAGTGATTGATTTTACTGCAAGATCAAAAGTAGATGCAGAATTCAACCCAGCTGCACGTCCCAGAGGCGCTGAAGACAGAGCTCTTACGAGACTGGCATTAATTCCCTGTAAACAATGTTTAAGAAAACATTAGTCATGATAGACAGTAACTAAGCACTTGCAAAACAACTACCAGGCTCTCTCTTATTTGGGGCCAATAAATGCTACAGTCAATACAGATATGAAGAGAACAACTCAAAAACTCTCCTTTGTATACATGGAAATTTTACTACTTATCCCAAAAAAAAAAAAAAAAACAGCCAATATGGTCATAGTCAGGAGCTTTATTACAAAAGGGAAGGAAATTCTTAGAATAGCATAAATATGGGTAAAAAGAAATTGATTCATGGTTCGTTAGCAATATGCAATCAAATTCTTATCCAATGAAAAAGACTCGGCCAAAAACTAGGAAAAGAAAAAAAAAATTCCAATCCCAACAAACATCAATAGAGAGCATTAAGTACTCCTATCATTTCATACCTTTTGCCATCCCTATACAATGATTCAAGTGGCAACTTAAAGCAGCCGTAACGGCCATTTCCCACAAAGTGACTCAAGTAAAGTTCTTCCCGTGAAGAGCAAGATACTCAAGGAACCCTCTTTTCTTTTGTTTCTGGAACCCTCAATTCAACCAATTTTTCACCTTTTTTTTTTTTTTTTAAATATGTTGCACACTATATCTATATCAAAATTTTGAAGCATAAATTCCATAGTTCAAGGCCTCGAAATTCAGCCCAATACAAATTATTAAAAAAAAAGAAAAATAAAACATACTTTTTTCCCAACCCCTCGCCAAGCCATTCATACATATGTCAAGCTCTGCAATCTAAAAAAAAAAAAAAGATAAAAAAAAATTATGTGAAGATTAGAGGTAATAAAAGAATCTTAAAGGCAATGCCAAATCCAAAGCCGCATACCTTATTCAATTCCCTTTTTTTTTTTTTTTTTTCACAAATAGAAAAATACCAACGTCGTAAATTGGCAAAATTCACTTATAAAAAAATCAAAATGTTCCAAACAAGCTCAATAGCTCAAAATTATTTAAGCAAGTTCAATAAAAAAGAAAGGAAAAAAAAAACTCACGACCGATGAAGAAGATGCATAGACGAAAAGCTGACAAAACCCCTGTCCTTATACAAACCAATATCAAGACAGTATGGAATTTTACTACTTTGGATGTCTTGTTGTTTTGGGTTTCTAAGAATATGCAAACTGCGTCGAGTTTTAACTCTTCTTTCAACGGAGTTTAGGTCGGTTTACTTTATCTCGATCTTTGTCCCCCTTCCAACCAAAACGACGTCATGTTTCATTTAAGTGAGGGCTTGGTATAATTACTTTTGTGCCCCTCGTAGGTTATGAGCTACAATAACCAAGTTTTTTTTTTTTATTATTATTATTCCTTTTATTTTACCCACGTAACCCACCCATGAGTTTTCTATTAATTTATTTTATAAATATTATTTTATGCTGATTACATCTAAGTTGATCTCTACTTTTCGTATAATTACTATTTGTGTTATACTTGAACAAGAAAAAATAAATTTTGGATTTTGGATGGAGTTTTTATTATAAACTAGAATTAGCCCCGCTATGCTGGGGTGATTATTTTTTATCAATTTTTTTAATTGTTTTGAATGTATTTATAATTATTTTAATATAAAATAATAAAAAAACAAAATATTGTATAAGTCTTAAAATTAAATTAAAATATTTATAATATTTTATATATTGTGATAATATTTTTTTATTAATTTTTCATATTATGTTATGAGTATTATATATTTTTTAATCATTTGATTAAATGTATGATTTTTTAATTTATTGTAAGTTATTTTTTTATAAAATTATTTACAACAAAAGAAGGAAAAAAAGTAAGTTAATTTTTTATTTTTTATATTTATAGTTATCATAATATTTTTTAAATTTATTTCATTATAAATAATAAATAGTAAAAACTCATAACTCAAAAAAAAAAAAAAGAAAACATCCAACTACAATCCCACGTCAGACAAACATCCACATTTCTTTTTTCAAATTTAATTAAAAGCTCAACTCATCATGTTCTAATCCAACTTAATTTATTAATAAATTACATAATTTATATTTAATATTTTATTTAATATATTTAAATAGTTATATATATAAATATATTATATTTATAATATAACATAGAGCAAATCAATATCATACAATGGAAAATACTAAAAATTCAACTTTAATAGAATACTAAATCAATTAAGATCAAAACCAACTAATCTAAATATTTCACAAATCAAAATCTCACGCATTAAACTCATCCAAGGGAAAAAAAAAATACTGAAACGTCTTTTTTTTTTTTTCAGTATTAACCAGTTCCAGTTGGGTTGGAACTTTCATGTTTGTTAGAGGTTTATTTTGTTCTTCTTCTTTGGGCCTCTCCATCTCCAACTTTTGGGCCTATCTGAGCTACTATATCTATTTCTTACTCTTTTGGGCCTGTAATGTCATCTCTCCCCCTGGACCATGGTTTACACTTTACTGGGCTTTGTTTCTTCAAGGTATTTGCGGCCTTTTTAATTATGTAATTCTAATCAAAGAACGAAATTCCAAAACTGTGAATCCTTAATGACTTGATAATTTATTAAATTAATTATTTCATTATTAATAATTATTTTTTATAAAATTAAAATATTAGCTTTTTTTTTTTTATTTCCTTAATAACATTAAAATCTTTACTAAAATAATTTTCTTATTAAATTAAATATTAATAGTTAAATTTTATCGGTCTATTTCTTTGTCAACCTTAAGCTATTTATTAAAATAAAATGATTTAATAAAATTTAAATTCAACTATATCAAAATTTAAAATCTTTATAATTTTCACAAAAATTATGTTCATTTAATAAGAAAAAATTGACATATATATATGGGCAATAGCTAAATGACATTAATTGAGTTAATATTTTATTTAGTTGGTATAGATATTCTTTTTCATGCATGATTTTCTTGCTTGCGCTGAGATTAATTTGTTTTCTTTAAAAATTAAATTTTTTTCTTTAATCACCTAATAAATCAATGTTTGGCTGAGAGAAAAGATGACGTAAGTCTAAGGATATATTATAGACAACATAAAGACCAATTGGAGTTAAAAACAACGATTTAAAAAAATAATAATAACAATTTTACTAAATTTCATGTCTTAAATAAATTAATTAATTAATTAAATGTCTTTTTTTTTTTTAATTTTGGTGTATTATTAAGCTAGGGGTTTGCTTCAATAATTCTTCCTATTCTAATTTGGATTTGAACATGTGTATACTTGTACTTCATATTGAATATTTACAAACTTAAAACAAAATCCGAAAAGATGAGGAAAAACCCAAACAATGACCTTAGTTTATGTCGTTTTCAAGTGTCAGAAGATTTGGTAGACAACTTTCATTTGGACTGTTACGATTGAATTTTAAACTCTACCTAAGTTAAGTTGGACCTTGCTTTTCGCTATACGCAAAAAATGATGCCTGGCTAAACGTGGTCACTATGCAGATTCGTGGGATTTCATGATTTCTATGTACATTGCATTTGGTACAATGTTGTAAAACTTTTTGCTTTTCAAGTTTCTTTTTGGTTTTTGCTAGGAACTGATGGCTGGTTTTGGGGACCAAATCCAATTCAAAAGATCACCTTTTTTTAAGACAAAGTCTAGGAAGTTCACGGCAAAAAAAGTCTCAAAGGTGTTACAATTGTCCCAATTCCTACCCAAATAGGCGCGCGCACTTGCACAAGTTGAACAGGACACACAAGAGGAGATGCCTAATGACTAATGCAGCAAATATCTAAACCTTATCTGTAAGGTCTTTATCATTAATGAAAAAAAAAAGGGGGGGAGAAAAATCAAAAAAATGTCACAGAATACATGTCAATATGGTTTTACATTAATGTTATCCATGCCGAACAACGTTTTGGCAGCTTCCATGGATGACAGGCTTTTCATCGTTGTTAGAGGATAAGTCAAAAGTTAAGAAAAAGATGCGCAGCACTGGTTAGACTCTGTCCAAAATTGAACTCTTTGATGATTTCATTGGCGACCTATTTATGGTTTTCTACCTTTTTTGTGGGGCCCGAGTTTGAGTGCATTCATAGAATTCCGTCAATTCCCTCAAGCCCCCATTTGATGCAGCGTGTACGATGTTTACTATGCTTAATCTTAATGGGAACACATGATTTTCCTCTTTGAAGCAGAAAATTCTTATTACATGGTTTGTTGTTGTTCCTAGGGAGGTTGTCTTCAACATTTCTTTTTTTTCTTTTATATAATCTTTCTTGTAGATGTGATTATGTAAAAACCTTAGTTGTTAGGAAGATCAATGTTCTAGCTGAATATAAATGAATTTGTTGAAAATCTTACGGAAAATAAAGCCTTTTCACTGGTTGATCTTTGTTGACCTTGAGATTTCTGCCGAAAGCTGGCATTAGCAACAAGAGAAAGCAATAGGTGAGAAAGACAAGTAGGCAGATGGTGCACATATAAAACTGAAATTCAATGCAATTCATCATTAGTTTATAGGCTGCTGAGCTTTTTGGCTCCACCTCCTCCTTCAGCCATTGGTTAGATACCCTTTAAGTCTGAACCACCATGGAGTTCGAATTAACAACCCTAATAAATCTAGAGAATCTCTAGCAGGAAAAAAAAAAAAAAAAAGAGAGAAATGAATTGACTATTGACAGCAGAGACAGAATAAAACTTGGAATCTAGTACCCATTCATTTTAAGATTGGGTTTGATTATCTGGATTAAACTTTCAAAACTTTCCTGTACCAGTAATGATCTTTTCTTTGAAAGAAAGTGAGAAACGAAATAAGAAAATCTTTTTTCTATTACATATTTCTTTCTTTTATTTAAATATTTATTTACTTTTCATTGGGTCGTTAATTCAGTTAAATTTCAGGGTCGCATGTTCAGACTTTTAGAGTCTACATCATGTGTGGTAGCTGCCACCGCTCCAAGCCAAAAGTTTCTCATTGTTGCTTGGGCTTATGCAAAATTTTTGACTTTAAAATACCAAGACTAATTAAATATGACGAGACATCCACCTTCCCAAGCATGATCCATATGAGGATTATTTAATGATCTCTTCAACATAACTGACCCTTCAATCTTTAATTCCTTTACTAAAACGAAAAGGTCAGACTCAAATTTGCAGATCTTTCCCCAAAAGAATAGTTGTTCTTGACTTGACCCTCTCTCTCCCTGGTTTCAAAATTTCCTAGCCTCTTTAAACCTGTTTCTGTCATAAACGTTTTTGTTTGAAAAACAGGCTATTCAACATTTATTTTGGTTTCTATTTTGAAACCGTTTTTGGTTGGTTCTTGCAAGTTTAAGACAGCTTGGTCATCTGGGAAGTTGTTTCTAGACTAGGATTTTTCTTTTGTTTCTCTCCTTGAATTTTCTTTAACTGAATTTGGTCTGTTTTGAAAGCGAGTGTTTGGGGCTTTGGAGGGATTTCAAATCTTCTAGCAGCTATTTGTCACTGAGTTTCTCTTGTTGGCAGTTTTAGTGCCGAAGAAAGATTGAGGTTGTTACACTGGTAGTTGGGATTTCAGGTTTGCTTCACAAGAAGATTTGGTTTGTCTGTTTGTCAGAAGAAGTGTCAAGGGCAAGTTCTGATTCTCAACTGCTTCACTGATTGCTATAAGCCTTTTTCTACTGCTCAGCGTTTTTCTTGAGATAACAGAGAGAGATCTGTCTGCTTCTTTGTTTTCCTCTTTTATGTCCTTACTGTGTTTTCACTATGAATCATTCTGGGGCAGCAGTTGAGGTCACAAAGGATAGAAATGGAATTGTTCAGGTTGTGCTTCGGAATCCTCGAGGGGCATCTGCAAAGGTCAGATTCTTTTTGTTTTACTTTTTTCTCTCGTTTTCTAGTCCTTTCGTAGTTTGAGATATCCAGGAATATTGAACAAGTTGAATAGGTTGAAGAGCAGTCTAAAACTAAGCGGATGGTTAATTCTAGTTGTCATTTATCCTTAGTCAAACTGCAAATTTTGGCTAAGTAGAAGCAACTTGGGTTAAATAGTGATATTGTTGCCTGAAATCTATAATTTCAGGTTAGCTTGCACGGAGGACAGGTTCTTTCATGGAGGACAGACCGAGAAGAAGAATTGCTATTTACAAGTAGCAAGGTAACATTAACCTTTGGTGTCTTACGTCATATTTGTATTATGCTCGCATATCATTTTCGTCTTTCCTTTGGTCTCTGGAGCAAAAATTATATATTAACCAGATTCAATGAAAAATTTTGTTTTCTTCCCGCTCCATGTACTCCAGGCAATCTTCAAGCCACCATACGCAGTGCGAGGAGGAATACCTATATGCTTCCCACAGGTATTTAAGATTTGATGCTTTTATGCATCAATTTTCAACCTGTCTATATGCATCGGGTTGATGGGTTCTCTTTAAAATTTTTTAGTTTGGTCAGCGAGGATCACTGGAACAACATGGGTTTGCCAGGAACAGGACTTGGATCATTGATGATAATCCACCACCATTGCACTCAAATGATTCCAGTGGCAAGACCTATACCGACTTACTGCTAAAGCCATCAGAAGATGATTTGAAGATCTGGCCACACAGGTGAGGTCCTAATCTGCCATGGGTCCTTGGGAACGGTTATCGAATTCATCAATGGATTTTCTGATATTTATCTGTCAATCTTTTATAATTAAGCTAAGATTAGGAAGAGTCATCCTCTGCTAAAGCAACTTCTTTACAGTGTTATCATGACTTTATGATAATCTAGCTGGATACTAATAGTATGTTTTTATGTAATTATGTATATTAATGATTGATTTTTAACCTTTTCAGTTTTGAGTTTCGCCTTCGGGTGTCTTTAACAGCTGATGGGAACCTAAGCTTGATATCACGCATCAGGAATATCAATTGCAAGCCTTTTAGTTTCTCAATTGCTTATCACACATATTTCTCCATCTCTGATATCAGGTATAAATAATAGAATGCAGTCGTATAGACCTGGTTATGCCTCTAGGCCCTAGTCTTAGTTACAGAAATCATTAACTCATCAATTAACATTCTACTCTTTTTTTCTATCTTAAAAGACCTTTGACCATTACTCCTCGATAATTTCCTTCTAGCAAAAAGGTAATTCACTCGGTCACGGGAAACAATAAGCTTTAGTCATTAATGATATATTTTCTTGTACTAATTAACAGTGAAGTGAGGATAGAGGGATTGGAGACTCTTGACTATCTTGACAACCTATGCCAAAGGGAACGCTTCACAGAACAAGGAGATGCCTTGACATTCGAATCTGAGGTAAATCATTCACTGTTTGTTTGAAAACTATCAAGTTGTTTAAGAGCTTAGGTGCTGTTTAGTTCTGGGAAACAGAAGGAAACTACAGGGAAAAAAATAAGATAGAAGCCCTCAAAGTGTAAGCATTCGGTCGATAAAATATTATGCTGATTCCAAGATGCTGTAAAACAATTTCTCCATTCATCCGCAGAGAAAATTAAACATGTCAATTTAAGTTCTCCATTTATTTTAAAGGCTGATATTTGCTCATTAATGAGATTGATATCATCTAATTTACTAACAGAGTCTCTACATTGATAGTTTATCCAAGATAAACACTTATTGCAATGCAAAATTTTTAATTATGCACATCGCTGAGTAGATGTTTAAGACTTAATTATGGCTTTTCAATTTGAAGGTGGACAGAATTTATCTTGGCTCTAGAGATATCATTGCAATCTTCGATCATGAAAGAAAACGGACCTTTTTAATACAGAAAGAAGGCCTTCCAGACGTTGGTAAGCTTTTATCCTCTTCAATTCAATCTAAAGCAGTAACATAAGTGATATAAATGGCTTCCACCTGGGAGAATCAGAAACATTTTTTCATATCATAAAACCTTGTGGACAAAGCCAAGCTATTTTGAAGATCACTGCAGCTGCAGCTGCAACTGCAACTCAAATCCAACCCAAAAACCTGGCCCTGATGTATAATTCTTTGGCATTTTTTCAGGGGTTTGGAATCCGTGGGACAAGAAATCAAAAACCATGGTTGATTTTGGGGATGAAGAATACAAACAGATGCTGTGTGTCAATGGGGCAGCAGTTGAAAAACCAATCATTTTGAAGCCAGGTGAGGAATGGACAGGCCGTCTGGAGCTGTCAGTTGTCCCTTCAAGTTAATGAAGTGGTCATCATCTTGAACCCCACATCAAGCCTCATCTTCTAAAAAAATGACAGCAAATAACACAAATAAATCCCCCCACGGCATCTTTCAACCAAGAGGCAAAGTGAATCTGTTAATTTGTATTCAATTATTTATGATACTAAGAAAACAATAAGAGTTTTTATCACTGCGCACCAAGTGACCATGAAAATGTAAATTCCTGCAAGTGGAGATCTGTTTTATTGTTTCTCCATAATAGCAATGACATAGTTGTTTGACTTGTTTCTACTAAACTTCTGTCTTATAGATCACTCTGGAAAAAAAAAAGACAGTCAATAACAGTCCCTGTTGCCACAGAAAGTGAGCAAAATAGATTTTGTTTACTCACTTTCTGTATATATTTCCATCTCTCTTATGCATTACCTGGATAAATGGTGCAAAGGATGATGATAGTGTATGAATGGCAGGGGAAGCTAGCAGGTCAGCACTCTTACTCGAATCTTCATGACCTGAAATGTAATACATTCAGGCGCTAAACAGGTACAGGTTTTAACAAGTCAAGGTAATCTTAATAAAAGGATTGGAGGCTAAACAATAAAATCTTCATTGTGCTTTTGAAACGTAATAATAATGAACGACTTATGCCTTTGCAAAGTCTGCTGCAATATTGTTCAGAGTTCACAGGAAGAAAAAAATTTATGGCCAGCTGAGCTACTCTTATATCAGAGCCAGGTTTCGATCCTGGGACCTGTGGGTTATGGGCCCACCACGCTTCCGCTGCGCCACTCTGATTGTTGAGAAAATATTTAGAAATTAAATACTTAAACTATATCAAGAGACATAAAAGCCCACAGTTCTATTGGGCCAATATTACGTTGTGGCTCTGTAGGAAATCGACTGACGTCTTCTTTTGTTTGGCCCTTTTTCTGAAGAAACTGAATCATTATTTAATGAAACCACTAAGCAAAAGGAAAAAAAAAAGGTTATAGGAGAAGAAACTTTATGTAAAATAACATTGATTTTCTTTTCAGTACTCTTTTTTAATGAGTACTTCATAAAAAACTAGATTCTCAATCATAAAGTTTATATGAAAAACAACCATATTTAATAGAGATTTGACCATACGTAATTGGTTACTATATTATAGTTAAAAATGTGACATTGATTTAAACTTTGCATAAAATGACTATAATTTGCAAGTTGCAACCACCAATAGGCATTCATTCGGATGAGGCAGATAGGTTCGCATTATTTTGATGCAACAACATAGAGTACCAGGTCAAAATTTTCTTTCTTGTCCATATCAAAAGGCCAAGGGCCCAAGACCAAGGGGCTATCTAAATCTAAATATTCCCATTCTAAAACGGAAAACGCCAACTCCACGAAATCAAATCAGAATTTTCTTGCCTAGGGATTACTAGACAATTGCATATGGCTTCCTTCAACCACCTCCGATCCCAAACATTGTAAGCCTATCGTCTCAATTCACTCCTCCTTTCCTCAAATTGACAAATATTCTTTGCCTTCTCACTCTTGTCCAAACGTATGCACTCGTGCATCAATTGTAAGAATTCCGATGGCAACTTTTTTCTAACTGTCTTTCATGATTGTTTCTCTCAAAAATTTTTGTAAGGATAAGAAATGGATCATATGCCCCCCTCTCGAAGAAATGCTGACCTTTTTTCTTTAATTAGTTCGAGCCCTTGTCGTAAAATAGCTAGTTCTTCTATAGAGTGGGGGGCCTTTTATCTTCCAATTTTGGACAATTGTTTTTGCATTTTTCAACCAAACTTTGCAGCTGACAAAGACCGTTGTTGAATCAGATTGATACATGCACTAGTGCATTAAAGTAGTAGCTAACCAATATGTATATACATATATATATTTATATATAGAATGGTCATAACTCAAGAAAAAGAAATTTTGATTAAAACCAAAATTTTAAAACTTTCTAAAATTCTAACTCCTCTTAAGACATAAGCCCAGAACATATATACTTTTTTTAATAGGGGAGAGGGATGAATATAAATTCATAATAATCCCAACCACCATATCTACTCTAACCCCATCTAAATGAAAAAAAAAAAAAAAAGAAAGAAAATAAGAAGAATAAACTTGACCAACTCTTATCATTAAAACCTAAGATTCTAGGCTAAGAACAATTATAAAGATGATCAAAAGTGGTTGAAGGATCAAATCGTAAACAATTATTATTCATTAATATAAAAAAAGTGCATGCAGCATGTTCATTCAGGTTATAATATTCACTCTCTTTCGCATATTAGTTTTTTATACATAATTCACAAAAGTTGAATTAGTGGATTTTGATGGACGAAAGTGAGAGGTGTGAGATAACTGTACAAAGATGAAGGAATGGCATAACGACAAATAGGAGAGGGTCTTTTGTTTTGGTTTAGTGGTAAGAAAGAAGTTTTAAAATTTTAAAATCTTAAAGATTAAATTTTATTGTATAAATTTATTTGTATAATTATATTTTAAATTGTTAGTCGATTATTTAATAATTATAATTTTTATAATAAAATAATTGATTATTGAATTGATTATATGCATTTAATATATTTGATTATAATTTAAAAAATGCTGAACAACCTTTTTTATATAAATAAATGGATTACAAATGAGCATTTTAATTATAAATTATAAATTCTTTTATCACTTATTAGAAAAATATATATAATCATTAAAAGCTCGGTGAAAAGAAAATATCAATAATTCTAATTTTTTTAGATTGAAATTTTTTATATCAAAACAAAATAAAAAAGCTTATTGTATATTTCTTAATTTCAGAAAAAAACAACTTTTTACCAAATATTGGGAGTAGTATTTTAGTCAAAATCAAATACCAATTTATAATATTCAACTCCTAAACTTTTTAATTTTTATTTATTTACCAAAGAAAATAATTTATGAAGCGCTTCTGAAAATGTAGCGTCAATGGACGAAAGAAAGGGTCCAAAGGCGTTGTCCAAACTCATCAGATCGAACGGCCATTAAAAAATTTCACAATCCCAAATAAACGGCCAAGACTCCAGAAAGACGTTGGGCCCCACACCTCATTTATAGTTATCGTAAATTGACGACAGAACAGACGGGCACAACACTGCGACAGTGATCCCCTTCTCTGTTCACCTTCAAAATTTAATGATTGACCCACCTATCAGCATCTTAAATGGCCACGTCACTAATCCCACCAAATCCACTTTAGAACAGGTTACCCTATAAAACTCCCTACTCCTCTCTTTCTTTCCACTACTCCCTCAATTTAATGTCACCAAAAATATATAGCCGTTGCTAATTATCAGGTAAAAAAAAAAAAACAAAAAACGCAGCAAAAGCTTCATATTATATTTACTTTTTATATCTTTTTTTTTTTTTTTCTCTCTTAGCTTCAAATCATTGGATTTGGTTCCATCTCTGAGCATTTTAAGTTTTTAACTATTGAGTTCAGCAAATTTTTTAAAAAAGAAAATTGATCATTTCTTGCTTTTTTGAGCTATGTCTTAATGATTACTAGTCTATTTTCACATGCTTTGGATGCTACTTTAGCCAGAAAGGAATAATCATAATAATTTGCATTTTCACATCTTTGGCCTTTGCTTTCTCATTCTCTTCCTCTCTGGAGGTTGGTGAGTGAAAAAGGCAGTTTTTAAGTATTCAAGTAAGCAAAGAAGTGATCTTGGAAGCAGAAGAATTTGAGCAGTGCAGATCTAGAAAACGAGGTAAGTGTAAAAGTTGTAATTTTTTTCACTAGTTTGATATAGGTAGTTTGATATTGGGTTTGGTTTGGATTTGGTTTTGAATTCACAATTTGGATTCAAGTTTTCAACTTTTTGGTTGAAAAGCTAAATGAACAAAGAACAAAAAGAAAAGAAAGAGCCAGGGTTTTTTTAATTGAAGCGTAACTCGAAGGAGTAACAGAGTTTTGTACTATATTTGCTTAAAGAATTGAAATGGGGTTTTCGCCATATGTTTTTTTTGACTAAAGACACCTCATTAAAGCCTGCAAGCTCATTTTTTTAATGTGAAAATCCCCAGAGCCCGCCACTACTTTTTTCGACAATTATCTTGGAATCTGACCTTTTTTGTTCTCCCTCCCTAGTCCTTTGTTGCTTTTCATTCTTTTTCTCCAACTTATTTTAAATTATTTTGAGTTGTTTACTTTTGTTTTTTGTTCTCTATTGCTTTTTAGCTTAAAACCATTGATGTAAGGAGGGAACCAAGTAGCAGAAACAGCTCGTTTTTTTGCTTCAGGGGTTGGGTGGGACTTGAGAAAGAGAGATGGAAGCTTTGTACATTTTCTCTTGGGTTTGCTTCTTGGGTTTGGTTTCGTTTCAAGGAAATGCAGACCTAGTTGAAGATAAGCAGGCATTACTTGATTTTGTTAACAACCTGCGCCACTCCCGTTCTCTAAATTGGAATGAGACTTCTCTGGTCTGTAACAACTGGATAGGAGTGACTTGTAATGCTGATGGCTCTCGGATAATAGCGATTAGATTGCCTGGAATCGGATTACATGGGCCTATTCCTGCCAATACTATTAGCCGCCTCTCAGCTTTGCAGATTTTGAGTCTTAGATCCAACGGTATCAGTGGTCATTTCCCTTCTGATTTCTCTAATTTGAGAAACTTGTCGTTTCTTTATCTTCAATACAACAACTTCTCTGGTCCATTGCCGATGGATTTCTCTGTTTGGAAGAATCTAACTATTGTTAATTTGTCCAACAATCGATTCAGTGGGAGTATTCCTTGTTCGCTGTCCAATTTGTCTCACCTTGAGGCGTTGAATCTTGCAAACAATTCACTTTCTGGTGAAATTCCTGATCTGAATTTGCCTAGCTTGCAACAGATAAACTTGTCCAACAATAATCTCACTGGTGATGTTCCAAAGTCGCTTTTAAGGTTCCCGAGGTCAGTATTTGGAGGTAACAACATTTCTTTTGAAAGCATTCCTCCTCAAACATCCCCGTATGTTGCACCCTCTGGTGAACCATATCCAACATCCAAGAAGTCGGGGAAGCTTGGAGAAACTGCATTATTAGGAATTATAATTGCTGGATGTATTCTGGCAATTGTGGCATTTGCATTTTTTATAATTGTTTGCTGCTCAAGAAAAAAGAGTGAGGATGTGTATTCACGGAAGTTGAAAAAGGGAGAGATGTCACCAGAGAAAGTGGTCTCGAGGAGTCAGGATGCAAATAACAGATTGTTCTTTTTCGAGGGTTGTAATTATACATTTGATTTGGAGGATTTGTTGAGGGCTTCCGCTGAAGTATTGGGGAAGGGAACTTTTGGTATTTCTTATAAGGCAGTGCTAGAGGATTCAACTACAGTGGTGGTGAAGAGGTTAAAGGAGGTTACTGTTGGGAAGCGGGATTTTGAGCAACAGATGGAGGTTGTTGGAAGCATTAAACATGCGAATGTGGTTGAGCTGAAGGCATATTATTACTCAAAAGATGAAAGGCTGATGGTTTATGATTATTACAGTCAGGGAAGCGTTTCTTCCATGTTACATGGTACGTTGCTTTGTCTGATCCCTTTTTTATATATGATAATAATTAATTGCATTTTTATCTCTGAAGTGGTGGAAAACAAACTTTTGTTGTTTGCAATTACTTTTTGAAAGATAACGCTATTGTATATGACCAATTCATTCCCCTGGGTTTTTCTCCTACCTGTAATATTTAGTGATCTCTCTGTTCTTGGCCGACTGAGAATAATTAATAACTAAGAAAGGCACCTAACATGATATTATGCTTTTGTATAATTAGATATCCGAATTTGATACAAGATGCTTTATTTTTCTGAAAAAGTTTCTATCTCTTACCACTTCAATTATAGGAAAAATGTGCACTGTTGATATTTTAGTGGTTTAGGAACGAGGGTGATGGTGGAAAAGATGATTCATACATAATAACTAATAATTCATGTAAACATTTTGATTGAAACTGAAAAAAGGAAAAGGGAAAGATAAATACAAGATAATATTGTCATAGATGTGGCTATTTTTTCAACATATCAGCTTGTGTTTCATTGATGAGATCAGATATCTTTCAGTTTAGAAATGTCCTTGGTGAGATAGGTGTCTTTTAGAAATGCCTCTCATCTTTAACAATGCTGTACAAAATGGGATGAAGGTGAAATCTTGGTGCTCCACTGTATCTGATAGTATATGCCACCCGTGTAAACTTGATTTGGTGTGAAGATTGTTATGCAAAAAAGATTTAAGACAGCGTCCTCAAAGAAGTTTCTGAATCATTAATTTTGAATTTAGGTGGCGAGAGTGAACATATAATTAAGAAATTGGAATTTGGCATTAGGATTTAGATATTAATTCCTAGTTAGTGAAGACAATTTATATCTCATCCTTGGTTTGTTTTTCATGGAACACTCTATGTTCAATCTTTTAATTCAAATGTCTCCGACTTTGGTCTTCATCAATGTATAAAAGATCAAATAGCTTCTAGATTTTTTCATAAGGCAAGTGTGTTTGCAGGTAAGAGAGGAGAAGACAGAATCCCTCTAGATTGGGATGCCAGAATGAAAATAGCAATTGGGGCAGCCAGAGGCATTGCTCGCATCCATATGGAGAATGGTGGGAAGTTTGTCCATGGCAACATCAAGTCCTCAAACATTTTTGTGAACTCCCAACAGTATGGTTGTGTGTCAGATCTCGGTCTGTCAACTATAATGTGCTCACTAGCCCCTCCCATCTCCCGTGCTGCTGGTTATCGTGCCCCTGAAGTTACTGACACCAGAAAAGCTATGCAGCCTTCTGATGTCTATAGCTTTGGAGTGGTCTTACTAGAGCTCCTTACTGGAAAGTCCCCTATCCATGCTACTGGTGGTGACGAGATTGTCCACTTGGTCAGGTGGGTTCATTCAGTAGTTCGAGAGGAGTGGACAGCTGAAGTATTCGACATAGAACTGATGAGATATCCAAACATAGAGGAAGAGTTGGTGGAGATGTTACAAATAGCAATGACATGTGTTGTGAGGATGCCGGATCAGAGACCTAAAATGCCAGAACTGGTTAAAATGATAGAAAACGTCCGGCAGATTGATTCTGATAATCGGCCATCTTCAGGAAACAGATCTGATGGTTCAACACCACCAGCAACAGTGATTGGGAGAGAATCCCAAGTCCCACAATGAGTCACCATATACCTCTATTATTGGAGTCTTTTTTTCAATTCTTTTTACCTAGTCTAGTGGTGTATTTTTTTTAAAAAAAAATCGTTTTGCCTTTTTCAATGAACAAATTCTGTTGAGACTTGTATCAACCTGATCCTGGAAAGGTAGAGTTGCAAGGTTATGCGTTGGTGAATCTCACTGCTACTGATGCTTTGAACGTGGTAAGATACCATCCCTATCATTCTCTCTTTTATGAATATTTTTCATTCCTTTGATACTAAATGAAAAGAGCAGCATCCTATATCAAAATTCAAAGGTCATTTCACAGATGTCCGTGGCATCGGTTTCTTAAAGTTGGTTAGCATGTCAGATGTCACTTGAATGACTCTAATATCATTTGTTAGAACGTTGGAGTAATTGACTCGTATAACATATGTATCGTTGTTCTTAGCTTTTACGTTGTTACATCTTACAGATGCCACTACGAAATGGAAATATGAAAATGGGTTATTGAAAATTAGACAAGAAATGAAATGAGTTTCACTGTTTCATAAGTAGCAGCTTCTTGATAGGTCCTGGAGTCGTCCGGTGACATTTATGTTCCTGCCTTTAGACCTCAACTACAATTTGCAACAACATTCCTTCAACAGAATTTGAACAAACAATGACCTCCAAAGTCCAAAGGCATTCGAGATATCAATGGGTCCCTGGCCCGAGTAACAATTTTCCCATGAAGTGCCGCTCTTAAACCAGTGCAGAATACTCGCAGGGAGTCAACCCAAGGCCCATGCCTTGTTTTCTTGTTCTCAGGCACGGCTTTCCTAATCCAACTTCATAGCAATTAACGAAAAAGTAAGTTCGATGTCATCGGTAATTTAATTATTAATATATTTTTTTACAGTGATTTTACCATTCATGATTTAGAATTATTTTATTTAATTAATAATAATTAATTTTTAAAAATTAAATTTTGTTATGTTTGATATTATTAAATTATAAAATATTATTTTATTTTAAAAAATCTAATAATAGTTATAAAAGTTAATAATTTTAGTATTAATTACATATAATAAATTATAAGAGTTAATTTTTTATGAATTATTTGTAAAATTTTTTAATTTCATAAATAAAATTAAGAGATTAATGTATGTTTTATTCTTTAATTAATTTTTAATTATATTTCGTATTTCTTAATAAAAGATATGTGTTATTTTATTACTTGTGTTTATGAGATTTAAAAATTTTATCATTTATAAGTAAAATAATAAAAAATTATGAAAAAATTATCAACGTGATGTGTGAAAAAAAAGGACAAGGATAGAGGAAGGGTGATGTTTTATTTTGAAATAAAGTTTTAAAATATCTTAATTAGGAAATTAAGATTAAAAAAAATCCCTGTCGTTAAAAAAAAAAAAAAACTAAAAAATGAAACGTTAGGCGTTTAAACCAACTTTGAAGGACAAAGTTCCGATAATCTCAATTACCACTCCAAGTAATAACTGTAAGTAACTGAACTATCATCAACAAAGAAGGAAGACAAATATGTTTGGGTCAACACGGTAAAAACGCGTCTAAGAAGAAAAAAAAATACAGAAGAGTAAAAACATTCTATTACAAAAATTTCGTATATTTTTGTGGGGTCCACGAAGATAGACAATGAGAACGTAAAACAGTCGAATTTTGCCTTTTTTTTAATTATTATTCAAAACTCTATTTTCCCGGACCCCGCTTTTTAAAGCCTCTCTTTATTTTTCTTCTGCTATTTTCAGCAACTAACAAACAAATTTTGCCCAGGACAGGAGGATCGCTCAGGTACTTTCCTCTCCAATTTCTCCAATTCCTCTTTACTTTTTCTTCGTTTTCTTTTTAATTAAAAAATTTTCAAGTAATTTTCGTTGAAGCTAAAGGCGATCTAGCTTGGATTTTGATTTTCCTTTTTTTAAAAAAAATTGTTTGTTTTAGAGTTTAGGTGATGGCTTCAAAGCGGATCTTGAAGGAGCTCAAGGATCTCCAGAAAGATCCTCCTACTTCTTGCAGCGCAGGTTCAATTTCTTCTCTCTTTTTTCTCTTGTTTCGTGCCTCGATTTGTTTAGTTCTTTTCTTTTTTGTCTTCATCCTTTTATATCTTTATTTTTTTTTACTTTTGTTTCCATGAAGCTTTTCTCAATTTTTTTTAAATTTCGCTTTTTTTTATATATATGCTTTTTGTTTTTTAAATCATGACATGAAATTATTATTATTGCTGCATATTTGAATTTTGAGCTGTATATGATGGATCTATACTTATTATTAGGGATATGATTTTGACTGTGATGATTGCATTGATTCAAACTTCAATATCTTGCCTCTTTTATTTTCAAGTTTTAGCAAGGATTCAAATAGCTGTTGAGTAGCGGTGTAGCGGCTGATATTTTGCAGTAACACACCGATCCGCCACCCCTATTAACGAAAAAAGGGAGGAGAATTTGAATCATGACTGTTGTGGTAGGTGGCGGCCGCGAAAAACAGCAAATCGGTGAATTGAGGCAATATGAGTCTGCTGCTACTCCATTTTTGGTTCAAATATTCTATGTAAAAAGCCAAAAAAAAAATCAATCGGGTTAAAATCTTCAAATAGAAAATAACCCTAGGCTGGCAGAGACTTCAGTCCATAAATTCATCCCCACAATACATCAAGCACAAGCAATTCAGCACTCAAATTACTTTTTTTGTTGAAAATTTTGAAAGCTTCTTGTGATTTTTGTTGAATGAAATTGGACTTTGCTGGTGAAAGTTGCTTGTCCGTGAAATTGAAACTCTTGAGAGACGAGTGACGAGGGGCAAATAGAGGGACTGTGGGTGGGAATTGGAATTTTGGGTGTGTGGGAATGTTGAAATCGGGATTTGGGTTTGTGGGAATTGGAGTGAGAGGTAGCTTGGGGGAAAGGTGAGAGGGAAATTGAGAATGGGTTGGGGATCGCAATGATCGTGATGATCTCCGTTATGTTCGTAATCTTGATAAACGCAACGCAACCGAAAACGTGGTCATGATAGCAATTTAAATCCTTGGTTTTAGGTTTACATCATTGGATTTTGTTTGACTCAAGATTGTTAGTTTTTTTTCCCACATCCTATTGATTGCTATTCATATTCATGTTTGGTAAGTCAGTATGTGGTCATACGAAAAAGTTATTTTATTGGTGAAGTTGTAAGGAAACGATTAGCATGTATTGCATATAGGAACTCATCATTTTTGTTAAATGTGCTAAAATTGTTTAGGAGTGCAATGTCTTATATTTTCATAAGGCAAATAAAAGAAGGATGACTATTTCATTTAATTTTTACTTAGGAAAAGATTTTGATAAGGTTACCTGCAGATTGGTTATTCCATCTAACTGTTGTTTTACTTCTTTTTATTATTGAAATAAGGCCCTGTTGCTGAAGACATGTTTCATTGGCAAGCAACTATTATGGGTCCTCCTGATAGTCCATATGCCGGTGGAGTGTTTCTGGTCACCATTCATTTCCCTCCGGACTATCCATTTAAACCTCCCAAGGTAAGTACTTAATTGTATTCCTTAACCATCTAGTTTTCATTCTTTCCTGCCTTCACTGTATAGTGTCTTTTTACCTTTCTTGACTACATATTTAACTGTAGTTGACAATCTTTTGCTTTTAAAAACATGCCACTATGACTCATGCCTTGAAGAAAATTGCATAGCACTCTTTATGTTGCAACTTCATTATCTCAACAGGCTAATTTTTTTATAACCATCTATACAAGTGTTTTAGACATGAGTGTTATCTCCTTAGAAATCCAATACAGCTATTTTTTTAATGTGGTGAATGTCCATAGATCAGGCATAAGACCAAATTATTTTAGTCGGTACTCAAGACTAAGGGCATTAATGTCAAGCAAGTGGCCTAACTTTTATGGAATTAAGCTTGCAGTAGCTTACTTCAATATTCTTTGTTGTAGTAACTTTTTCTTATCAGTGGATAAATGATATGTTTTACAATTTCATAAAAATTCTGATACAGGAGATCCATGGTACTGTGACAACTGCAGAACATACTAATTTATGTCAATGCAAACCATAATATAGAATTAAGAACCAACTCTAAGACTAAGACTAAGATGGAATAGAATAGCCAAAAGAGAGAGAGTTTAGCAACTCATAGTTTATATTTCAAAAGAGAAGTTTTTTACAAGAGAGTTTATGAGATTTGGATCTTATGCTTTCTTTATGAAGGAATTAAAACTTATATGATATGGAAAAATTAAAGAATAGGACCAAACATGACGAGGGGGTTTCTGATAAAGATATAAAGTAAAGCACCTTTGAAAATAAACAAACAAACTAACTTTAATAAAGTAACTTTAATAAAAAGGATGGAATATTCTTTATCAAAGTTGATTTAATAAAGCTGATATAAAGTTGACATAGAATTAATGAGCTTGAAGTGGAGATCTGGATCTTATGCCTTTCTTATGAAGGAATTACAAGTTATGTAAATATGGAAAAATAAAGGTATAGGACCAAACATGACTAGAGGCTCTATGATAAAGACGTAAAGTAAAACACTTTTGAAAATAAACAAATAAACTAACTTTAATAAAGTAACTTTAATAAAGAGAAGGGAATCTTCTTTATCAAAGTTGTTTTAATAAAGCTGATATAAAGCTGACATAAAATTGACAAGCTTGAAGCGATGTTAGGGCCTGATGTTGGAGCTAATATAGAGGCTGATGTCATCATCTGTCACTTGTCTTGAGAAACAAACTTACACACTGGACAAGACTGCACATAATTATACATATCTTAGGCTAGAATAGGGAATATTTTTATTCTCCAAATTGTTCATGGAATTGTTTTGATAGATACTGATAAACTCATTCAAACAATTTATCTTCAATTTAGATCTCTGTCATAGGGTTTCAACCATTGATCATGAATCTTATCTTCTAATATTTCTTTGATCTTTATGACATCTCTTGGATCTTGCCAATAAGGATTTGTGGGAAGTTGCATTAATTCTACAAAATTTAGGAGATCAAAATTAATGAGTCTTTGTGATAGGTCATTGAATCAATTATCCCAAGGGGGTGTTGGGATCCATTTGTTAATGTGATAATATAAGTCTTCAATGTATTCTGGAACGTTCCACCACCAGGAAAGGTGTTAATTCTCCAGGGATCTAGGGAATGTGATCTTTGTTGATCTTGCAAAGTCTTTGGAGAAGAAATGGTACTCAGCAGGATATACGTACAATCCTTTATATAAGGAATACGGGTTGCAATCATAAATGGATGAGTATGTATGAAAATTAATTATACCATAATTGTTCACTTGACAGGGTCTGCGAAACATGAAAATGATATAGCAATATGGGGGAATGTTTCCAATTTGTTCAATCCATTGTTCTAGTGGTTTAAACCATCGAAGGAAAATCTTGAACCATTTAGCAAGGTTTGTTTCACCACGAAGAGGATTGTCATTTACCATGAAAATGATATAGTAATTTGCATTAAGTTTGTCAACTTTATGTCAGTTTTATTAAAGCTACTTTAATAAAGAAGATTCTTTTCTTTTATTAAAGTTACTTTATTAAAGTTTGTTTGTTTGTTTGTTTATTTTCTAAGGTACTTTTTTTTATGTCTTTGTCACGAACTTCTAGTAATGTTTGGTTTTATTCTTTTACTCTTTCATATCTATATAAGTTGTAACTCCTTCATAAGAAATGATATAGTTATATGGGGAATGTTTACGATTTGTTCAATCCATTGTTCTAGTGGTTTGAACCATTGAAGGAAAATCTTGAACCATTTAGCAAGGTTTGTTTCACCACGAAAAGGATTTTCCTTTACCATGAAAATTACATAGTAATTCGCGTCAAGTCTGTCAACTTTATGTTAGCTTTATTAAAGCTACTTTGATAAAGAAGATTTCTTTCTCTCTATTAAAGTTAGTTAGTTTGTTTATTTTCAAAGGTGCTTTACATTACGTACCCTAATAATATTTGATTTTACTCTTTTACTTTTTCATATCTTCATAAGTTGTAACTCCTTCATAAGGAATGTATAAGATTCAGATTTCAAAACTTCTCTTGTAAAAAATTTTTCTTAAATATAAATTATGAGTTTCTAAACTCTTATCTCTTTTGAATATTCTCTTCCATCCTAGTCTTAGTCTTAGTTTTAGAGTTAGTCTTTAGTTCTATATCATGGTTTGCAGTAACATAAGTTAGTATGCTCTACAATTGGAACAGTACCGTAGATCCTCTGCTTCAAAAATCTTATGAAATTATAAAATAAATCATTGATCCACTGATAAAGAAAATTTATTGTACCAAGGCATACTAAAGTAAGCTACATTAGTTGAATGCATAGTTCCATAAAAGTTAGGGCACTTGCTCGAGGTTCATGCCAGGATAGCACTTAGTCTTGAGCATCGGCAGAATATCTTGGTCTTATGCTTGATCTATGGATTGCTTATGTTTGGTGTCTCTTTGAGGAAGGCAATCTACCTTTTCCGAATTTACATTTCAATGTTTGGAGGGATATGTATTAACATAAATGCTTAAAGCCTTCATGTTATTTGGCTAATTCCTTGCTGTAAATACTAGTGACCAAGGTGTCTCTACAGGTCCAGTGGATTGTGCAAACATTGCTTGGGATGGAAATGAGTAAATGCTAATTCTACTTAATTGCCGTTTAGCTTTTATTAGCATATTCTGTTGCACAATTTTTTTTATGTCCATAGGGAATGTATGCATGCAAAGTGTCCAATGGTCTAGTTTATTCATGAAAGGCTATTGTTATTTTTACTTTTGTAAACAGTATCAGATAAGCCTTATCATCTGTTGCATATGGATATTTAGTTATGGCTCCTCACTCTTTCTATATACTTATTGGTTAAAAAAAATAGTGCATGGATTCTATGGTAGTATATTTATAATTTTATGCGATAATGATGATGCTTATTCATAGACGATAGAATAGCATCAAATTTATTTTCAAATAGAAATTTGCTGTAACCAATGGAGAATGGCTTGTTGATCCTGAGCTAGATTTTGTTAATTCTTGTAATTGCAAGGTAAATAATATGGCAAAGTTATTTCATACTTTTCCTTTCTGCCATAATGGCCTTATAACATACTTGTTTAGCAGTTGATCGATGACCAGCAATGTTATCTTGTAGTTTTGTTCAGCTAACCTTTTTTTCTTCTACAATTATTCTTTTTTTACTTTTTTTTTTCCCTTCCATTTAGGTTTCATTCAGGACAAAAGTTTTTCACCCTAATATTAATAGCAACGGTAGCATTTGCCTTGATATTTTGAAGGAGCAGTGGAGCCCCGCCCTCACCATATCCAAGGTTATTGTTCTACACTCCTAACTGCCTTGAAGTGTATGCATCTTTTAATTTGAATATTAGTTACCCTGTTATGTCATCTATCAACCATTCTTATAAAGCCATTAGAAAAATGCACTGGTTTAAAATGAAAGATTACAGCAAGCTTTTAAAATTTTGTTGGCCAAGATGTATACGCTCCTTATTGCCATGAAGTATATCTATCTTTTACCCTGTTATGTTATCTGTCAACCATTATTCATAAAGCCATTAAAAGAAATGCACCCTTTTAAAATCAAAGGTTACAGCAAGCCTTAAAAATCTAGCATTTCATGTACTGGCAAAGTTCTTTGCACCTTGGATCATTGCTACTGTGTGTCTGTCACCCTAGTTTGGAAAATTCTTTTTCTCATGTAACTTTTGTTTGCCTTGGTTTACTAGTATTTAAGTGTGGGGATGTGTAGGGGTGTTCAAATTTCAGTTTTAATTGAATTGACTAACCAAATCGATTTAATTTGGTTAATTCGATAGGTCACCAAAATAATTCACTCAATTATCGAAAATGATTTTAGAAAATTTTTTATTTCCAATTAATTTAATTCGAAAATAGAATGAACTGAAATGTAATAAAATTCAAATATATGACTAAAAAAATGAAATAAATCATTCTATTTTAGAAATTATTAAAGAGTTTTTAACTTAATAATTTGATATTTGAATATTTTATTAGATGATTTTATTTAATTTATTTCAAATATAAAAAATGAAAAGTTTAAAATATAATTTAATTTAAATATATTTATTATTTGATTAATCGAAAAATTAATTCAGCCAATTAATTTTCGAAACTAATATATTTGATTCAATTAACAAAAATGAAATAACATATTTGAGTAATTTGCTTTTGATAATTCAGTTCAAATTAAATGAAAACCGTTAAAGTATGTGTTTCTTTATTTTGATTCTAGGTGTTGCTCTCAATCTGCTCACTCTTGACGGATCCAAATCCCGATGATCCATTGGTGCCAGAGATTGCCCACATGTACAAGACCGACAGGAGCAAGTATGAGACGACTGCTCGGAGCTGGACTCAGAAATATGCTATGGGTTAATGTGCTGCTGCGTATGTAGTAGGAGGGCTTCATCCCCTGTGGCTTTGGTCTTTAAATTAATATGTATGAATCAGTACGTGTGATCTGTCTCTTTTTGTTTAGCGGACCAAGCCCTCAAAACACATTTACCGTGTTAATTGTTTGTATGGAAATTATCCTTCATACTTAAAAAGCCCCCTCTCTTCCAAAAGCCCCTTGTTTTCAAATCTTCCATCCATTCATTTTTCATATTCTGTAGAAGGTAAATCGGGTTCTGCTGCTATAACTATGGCTTCAACCCACGGCTTTAATTACTGATGTTGAAAGCAAGCAGCTCCAACTGTAACCGGTTTCCTTTTCTAGCTTTTCTGGCCATGTCAAGTGCCTGCCCGAGGTGCCAAATGCCAGTAGAAGCGGCTGACATTGTGTCTGTGCAATGTGCAGATTGCAGAAGTTAATTCTGCTAAATGGTGGGCTTTCACTCGGTTGGTCATGTTAGATTGTAGCCCAGCCTAAAGGCAAGGGCAAAGATGTTGGCCCTGCACATTGCAAGGTTAGCCAGTATGTTTTCATAGGCATGCTCACCAGCCCGTTGTCAGTTGTCTCTTTCTTTTATGACGATCATGAAAGTATGAGCAAGCATAGCGCACTCATTTATAAAACTTCTGGTGTTCGAAGCACAATTGGAGAAAGACAATCTGAGATTGATTCCAATCATTCCTTAAATTTCTAGGTTCTAAATTTCTACTACTACACTCTTTACCAGCTGGGCAAAAATGAATAACGCAAAAGCAGGAAGGGTAATATAGCCCACCAACACAAAAAATAGGACCCATCAGATTTTTTCTTCATGTTTAGTCCTTAACAAGGAGTGAAAAAAAAAAACAGATTTTGCACGAGTCTCAAGGGAGTAAATTTCTTCTGGTTTCAACCATAATTATGGCAATCCTCCTTTATAGCCTTTTTTTATGTTGTTCTACCCTACCATCCGAATAAATTTATTCGTGGTATGTATGTAATAAATGTTCCTCCATAAGGCTCTGAATTGTTCAAAAACGGGCACCAAAAGATTAAAAGAAACAATAAAAGTACTTCTACTGATCTTTGCTCTGTCATAATGGGAATTGAGAGATTCATTCTACCAGGATCGTAATTATTTCTTTCGGTTATTTCATTATTAAATCTACCCTAAATGGGGCCAACAACTGACACTTACAACTCAAAACTGATTAATAAAAGACTCCAGCTTCAATGTATTTGTACATAAATGAAAACTGCCCTAAACAAATAATTGAGAGCTGTGGTGTGAGAATTCACCCTTGTGGATTAACAAACATTGTTCAAATTTACCCTTTTTTTTTTTTAGAGAGGTAAAAAAAAGTTCATGTTTCCTGCTTAAAATGACAGTTTTTCCATGAAAACATGGGTATAATTATAAAGGTACAAATCCAGGAAAAACTAGGCTATCCCTTTAAAAGTCTAAACTCTAAACCTACCTACAAAATCCCATTTGAGCAAGCTGAGCTTCACCTTCTTTCATTTTTTTTTTTTTCAAATTTTGTTTTAGGAATTCGGGAATTAATGATATGTGTCAAATGCCTTTCATAAAGGTATCAGTTGTAAGGTTATAAAATTAACTTTAGCATTGAAGGGCTCCTCCCTTCAGCCAGTTCCCAGCCAACGATTCAATTTTTATATTTAGTAGCCAGCCTATCTTCACATTAACAATTAAATAATCTTACATCCTATGCTACTTAATGGCTGAGCCTCTTGTGGCCTATTTCAACAAAAACATGTTCATCTTGGTTCTTCAATTTTCCATTTCTTTCTCTATCTCGATTGTAATTTCGTCACAGACACATAATTCCTAACTACACCAAAAAAAAAAAAAACAGTTGAGAAATTAAGTAACCAAAATAAAAATGATTATGAGTCAAATCCGAATTGATTTTTGTTCATCTTGATTTTATATATTTAATTTCGATCCAATCTAATATTAAAATGTTTTTTTATCTGACATGATTTACCTCATATATGTATAAATTATTAAGACATTAAAATATTTTTTTTATACCCGATGCAAATTTGTTTTTGCATAATTGCATGGTATAGCTTGAATCAAAATTTTTGCAAATTATCTATTCCCTTCACCTTACAACAAACAATGATTTTGACTACAAACTTTATGGTGTTACTAAACTGAGTTTTAATCTGTCTCCTCTTATGATTTAAACGAGTGAGAAATATTTTCCTCTCAAATCAATCATTCAATACATGTTATATTTGGATTTTACCTCTTGTAAGTCAAAATATATACAACATCTTGACATGTACTTCTCCATGTTCAATTTTTTTTTATTTTTTAATTTAAAAAAAAATCAGAACTCTATTTTTTTAGCAAGAAATCATATATTTATATATTAAACACTGAATCAAATATTTAAGTACTTTTCATCTCAAATTTGATACATTAAAAGCGTTTTAAAATATCTTTTAAAAAAATTAAAAACTCCTTCATTTCCCTTTGTGGTGCCGAGGGAGAAAGATATTCTAGGAAAAAAAATTTGAATTCTCAACGGTTACTTTTGCCACTTAATTAGGAGGTTTTATTGGTTATTAAATGGAAATAGTTTAAAATAAAAAAGATTAGAAATATTGGTAACCCGAATTGCGAGGAGTCAAACCCAGCTTTGCCGTTGACGTTGAATTTTTTTTTTTTTTTTTTTGCATTTGAGTCTGTTAGAGTATCAAAATCTAAATATTAAAATTAAAAATTTACTATTCTATCAATAAATTATAGGTTATATGACTGATGGTATCAACATTTTTAATACTCTTTTGTCTCCTTTTTTTGTCCTTTTTTTTAGATATTCTAAAATTGTATCCTATTTTATTTTTTAACATATAAAACTTTTATTTCTTTATATTTTAAAATTATTTTTTATGATTTTTTATTACTTTTTTACATTAAAAATCATGAAACTTTAATTTTATAAAAAAATATATAAATTTTAATATTAAATATATTAAAGTCAAATTTTTTTTGAATTTTGTAAAAATCAATATATGATAAACATTTTAAGATGGAAGGAATAATTTTTTTTTCCCTGACAAGAGAGGAAAAAAATAAGCAAATGAAAGCGTAATTGTACTTCATTTCAGTTATATTTTTTTCATAATATTTCATTTGGATTATTTAATCAAAACCCATTACTAACAGATACTTTAAAATTTAACAAATTCCATGCATCTTTGATCTTTCACGTCAATTTTGTTTCTCATTTTCTTTAAAAAAAAAATTGCACGTTTAAACCTTAAGCCCCACAAATTTCACCCCTTTTTTTTTTCTTTATTGATTATGATTAAAGCCCACAGCAAAGCAGTCGTGCACAGAAGTTGGAAAAGGCCATGACTCTGAAAATCAGGTATCCTAACCACTAATTTAATCACTCCATTAATGTACTTAAAAGATAAGCTTGTCCCTAACGAAGACAAGAGGCACAAATGCCAAGCTGATCTCCACTAAAAAAGGTCAGTTGTGTGGACACGTGGACACTTGTCAAGTTGCTGACGTCGAAGAAGTGTCTGGTTTTGATTAGTTTCAGCATTCGTTGAATCTAAAACATTTTGGTTTTCAAAATGATTCTGTAATTAATCATACAATAATTGAATCTATTGGTTTTGGCGGACAATGGGGGCTTAATTTGGATGCCATGGTCAAACCCACGTTTTTTCAATTTCGAGTTCAAAGATGGGAACGTCATTAACCATGATTGTGCTATTTCGTAATTACCAAAGATAATTTGATGTTGATTGATGCCAAAGTTTTTCCAAAAAATTAAAGGGACATGTTGAGGCAAACATTCTTAAATTTACTTGCATTTAAAGTTAGTGAATTTTCTTTTTCAAAGGCTTCAATTTTAAAAATACTTAAATTTCATTTCATTTAAAAACAATTGCATTTAGTGTGATTTAAAAAGAAGAAGAAAGTATTAATTATAGTAAGAATTGAACATTTGAACCTAACCCATTAAAAGTTTTAGACAAACACTTACTGATGCCCCTTTACCTAAACCCCTGAATTTGAGGCGATTGGACATCACTTTTCAAGTACAGTCCACCTCAGATCCGATGCAGGGAGTTTTTTTTTTTTTTTTTTTTTTACCAGTTTGGATCTATAGATTTATATATTTATGTGGTATAATATTAATAATTTTTGTATTTATGTTTTATTTTATATAAAAATTATAATTTATGTTAATATGTAAAATATAGAATATATTTTTTATATTTGTTAAATTTATATATAATTTTTGTTAAAATTTTAAAATATATTTCATTTTATTTTGATATCATATTTTAAATTATCAAATATTTAGACTTATTTTTTATTTTTTTAAGGATTGGGCTGTAATAACAATTAAACTGAAAAAGGTGGAGAAAAGCAAAAATAAGATTGGTTGGAAATAAATTTCAAAAAAAAAAAAAATGTATCCTCCGTGTAAGCTGGAATTGTGCCGCGTACACGTGTCGATCTTTAGACTCGAAATCACTGAGTGGTGTCGGTTACAGCCTATTGGGTCATGGAAAAGATGATGGCTTAGGCCCCATTTGGATGCCCAATGGGATCCAGTGAGGCACCAGTGAAGCTCTTAATCTCACCGTGAATTCGTTTGACAGACACTCCAGTGGTGATTGAATACATGTCAAGTGAACAGGACTAACGTTTAGCCACTGGAACTTCATTCCAGTGAAATTTTTAATTACCCCCACAACTATTTTTTTTTTCATTAATATCCCTACTCTCATTTTTTTTCTCTCCTTTTTGTCCTTACTATTATAATGCATGGGCTGATGAGCAGATGTATTCTGCCACCTTTTCCTTTATTTTAATTTTGCTTTTCTTGTTAGTTTATTTTTTATTAATATAATTTTTAAAATTAATTTATTATAATTATTTAATAAATCTTAAATAACTAAATAAAAATATTTTTTAAAATTTAATATATATTATTAGTTTTTATAAAATTATTAATTTATACAAAAATAATTTTATTAATTATTAATTATTTATTAAATTTATAAATATAAAAAGTATTATATTTAATTATATATAAATTTAAATTTAATGTCTTTAATAATTTTTTTTCATTATATTTTATCTTACTATCATTATTATATTTATATTCAAATACATATATTAATATTGAT